CTTTTAAAGAACAAGAAATAATGAGGCTACACAGATATGTAAACATACTTGAATTTTAACCTACAATTATAATGACTTTGGATTGGAAAAAACAAGGCCTACTCTAAGACATTTAACTATACCTGTTCGTCCAAAAACCTACTAAATTTCCAAAATACAAACTTGTATATCTCCCTAGACATGAATTACATGAACGCCTTCTTAGAAAGAACCATTCTATGAAACAAATCTAAGAGAATTCTACATCCAAAACTCTTATCTCCTGTTTTCTGCCTATGGATGAAATATACAGAGTAATTTTCAGACCAAGACCTGCAGCATTTTTTGCTCCATTAGGTTTGATTCCGTATGTAGACTCAGATATTCACCGTTTCCATAAAGAATATATTCTCAATTGCTCAGAGTGGAGACAGAGCAGAGAGTTATAATAATTCTCATTTCACATAGATGAGTACACTGAGGAAAGAAGCAGCGATTTGTTCCACATTACCCATTCCAAGAGCTATGACTACACCCTTCAGCTTCTGAGTCCCATGAGCAGCCACACACTGCCTCTTTGATAATTTGTCTTTAGTAGGAGTTATCCAGGAATACCCAACAGCTGGGCTTCCTGTTAGCTCTTTGGGATCTGACACCAAATCGAAGAGGACCCAAGCGCTGCATAAACACAAAACAGGAGAGCGCGGTACAGCAAACAGTCTACTGGTTTCAAGAGAAGTGAACTACCTTCCTTTGGCTGAACGTGGAGGGGAGGCAAAAGTTGGTGACAGAGCTATTGGGTGACTAGGGATATCTTCTCAGCAGAGAGGAAGGTAAAGAGGAAGACTAGAATAAAGTCTCCCAAAGAGAAAAAGCAGAATCTCTGAATACCACCTCAAGCTGAAATCCCTTCTTATTCCTGCTCCTGCAGATAGGCAGAAAAAAAATTGGGATCTATATTTACAGTGATGTACAGTCTTGGGTGTGTAAAAGGGTCACAGAGTCATTGCAGATGTAATTTATACTCCTTTACACAGAAAGTGGTTTTTGCACAAGTGAGGCTCCTTTGCACACATCCATGATAAAAGTGGATTTCTGATCTCTAGTATGTGACAGTGGAAAAATACGGGACAAATACAGCCACGTGCATGTTCTTCGATGCTTGGGCTGCACTAACTACATATTGCTATAAGTCGGACTAAAATATCAGATAGCTGAAACAATTCATCAGCTCTTATTGTACTTTTCTCAGCATAATCTAACAGGTCACTGTTCTACTTTATCAGCTCCATCTAATAGTATCTGTTCTCAGTCCTTTTTCCCCATCAGGTAACATTTTCTTCTTCCTTTTGCATGTATTTTTCATCTACTTTAATTCCTTCTTCAATAATGATAGTCTGCAGGCAAAATACTAATTCCAGTTGTCTTACTGCCTTTGATTTTTGCTTTCCTGCTTTCTCTGTGGCTCAGAGTTGTCAATTAAGTGAGTTTATTTTGTTAGTGGAACTGGACAAATATCTCTATTTCTGAAATAAGAGTCACTTTCAGAAGCTTTTACTTAGGACATTCGCAGTAGGTTTAGGCACACTTTAAAGAAGTTCACAGACAACAGAGACTGTGTTACAAGTTGATGCTGTACGTCTTCTGGTTCCCTGACTCACAGATTTAAGAGAAATCAACAACAGGTCTACTCTGGAATAAACGTTCCAGGTTACATCCACCCAATTGACCTGTAAAGCTTATGCCATTTTGACTGACTTGTACATCTCTGTACAGCGTTGGGATAATTCTTCAGTTAGTAAGGGTGATGAATGGGTGCTGGCCAGTTTGCATTATTCTGCTGCAGTATCAGAGGGCTAAGAACTCGGGCACTTTGACCTCAGAGCTTCTTGAATGGGGAATCCTGAAGTATCTCTTACTTCACGTTTCTTCTCCTTGTAGCCAGTACCAGGGAAGTGACTGTCTGTAAGATAAAGGATCTAATCAGGGATTTATCACTCTCCCTATCTTCACAGAGACAGGGTAAAAGCACCCTCAGCTGCTCCTGAAATAAAGTACTACTCGATGTGAAACAAGAATAAGTGTGGCATAACTGAGCTGCTAATTGGGTTTTCTACAGCATCATAGATGTATGCTAACTTGGATGAACATGATGAACGCTGGTTTTCAAATCTGCCCCTTCCCTAAAAAAAAGTCTGCTTTTGAAAGAACATCACAGACCTATATCCTTCAAGCCAAGAAGGTTTAATCCACCTAATGCTTTATCAGTTGCTTCTCTCCTCCATCTCTTCAGATGTCAGCAGATATTAGCCCACATGCCAGTCTTAGCACTAGATCCTTTACTTTGTCATGCAGCTGGAACACGAATATAGTCTCTAATAGAGATTTATGAACTACTTCCCTGCAACACTCAAAAAGGGCATGTTTCAGAGGGGGGGGGGGGAGAAAAAGTCACCTTGGGATTAGAGAGCTCAGGAACAGTAGTTGTCTCTAAAGATTTCCTCGCTTAGCTGCTCAGCTATACAGCCATTTTGACTGGACACAAAATATTTTTTCTCTTCCTATTTTATGAACCCTTGCCCTGATTAACAGAACTCTTGGACGGGAGATTCTCCTGAAAATCCCTGGAATCCCATGCATGAAATGGCAGTTCTGTCAAGTAGACCAGACAGTAAGACCCGTTGCTAGCTGCTTCTTGGAAAGCTGACACACAAGGGAGCAGGCTTCCTTAGAAATCCCGAAGACTATTTGGAAAAGAAAAATAAAAACTTAAATGGGCATAAAGAACGTAAATTCAGATTTAATTTTTCTGAGGGTGCATCTACATCTCGTAATCTAAAGGACTTTCTTTACAATGTCCAGCTCTGATAGTTATAGCAGTTTAACTGTAATAGTACAGACTGTAAAATCCCTCCCAAGATCCTGGAGAAATGTTATGATTTTGGGAAACCTTTCGCAGCTACACTGTTATCACTGCCTAAAGTGGAATCAGGCACCTTGTGCCTGAGATCCTGTTATAACTTGGAATCCCAGTGCAAATATACTTTATCAGCAGAAATGTTGGTTCCATTCACACTTTAAGCAAATATTGAATGAGACCCACCTATTTATTAATTTACATTTAATTATAGATATTGGTTTTTCAGATGAGATACCAAGAAGCCCGCCTCTCTCTATGCTTTATTGTTTCTACAGGTTATAGCTGAGGAATCCAGCTCGCCTTATTTCTAAGCAGAAAGTTTTTGAATACATGCCACAGACACATGATCATTACCCTCTTAATGCCTCACTCGTTACTAGCCTTACGATGCAACAGAAATAGATCAGCTGCTTAATTCAGGAGGTTGCTTATTGAAAGTATCTTTTATCCCATCAGGACTAAAATTATAGAACCAGTCCAAAAATATAGCATTTCTTATCAAACATTATAAACTACAAAGCAGACCTATTTCTTAGCTGATTGTATCTTTAGGGATCAAAAGGGAATTGCATGCAGCGCTCTCATATTACTAGATGATTTGCTCTAATAGGTCTTTTTTTCCTCCAGAACGTTTCTACAGTTTAAATAATTCAGACATTTTTCAGTTTTCCCCCATTTAAGTTGACATAGCTTTGACCTGTCTTGGGACTTATTTAACTCTGTCTCACTCGTCTCTGGCTCAGTAAGACATGCTTAAGTTAACTATGAAGCATCATCTATCTAGTAAGAGATTGTGCATGGACAGAGAACAGAACTGGAATTAGATGCCTCAGGCTTTAGTCTCTACCTGTCTGCAACCATGGGCAAATGCTCAGTGCTTCAATTTCTCCAACACGCAGTTTCCTTCCTAAAATATGTCAAGGTCCTCTAATGAAAAGTGCTTGTTCCTTGATTTCTTTTGTTAGTACTATCACAGTGCTAAGAGAGGCCAGCTGAGATCAACTTCCTATTTTACCCAAGCAGCGTATAGCAAATAAAGGTGAGAGAGAAAAGGGAGGAGACAAGAAGGTTATGACCATTTTATCTGGATGGGAACTGAAACACAAACAAATTGAATCTCTGAGCCAATAGCCTGTAGATCTGTATCAGAACCAGGAGTTAGCTCTGCAGTTCTCCTCCAGTGCAGAGCTCCAACTGCAGTGCCATCCTTTTTTGGAAATACAGTGTTAGGTACAACAAAATATTTCTGCATTCTTTAGATTTTAAAAAGCAGCAAGAGACTCTTCCAATTCTGTAGAACTGAGATCCATTATAACATCTAGCCCATATCCCTGTCACTTACAGGATGTGTTTTCGACAACTCTAATTGTAAACAGCCTTTTCTACACTTCAATTAATTTCACTATATAGATCTCAAAAGAATTAACCTACCCCGGTAAGCATCAGCATCTCTTCTACCTCTCCATTACCTCTGAACAACACAGAGCACTATACCTATTTTAATTCACTCACCATTGCCTTTCCTATGCAGGCACTTTTCCCATTTTGAGACTCACGATAGCCTATTCAAATAGAAATCGACAGTAATTTTGGAACCTGCTGAGGAGCAGGTAGCAGCCAGCCACTTGCATATGTAGAATCACACAGTGAGTTATGTTGAAAAGGATCTCTGAAGGTCCTACAATTCCCTACTCAATGTAAGGCTACCTTCAAAGCTAAATCAGGCTGCTCAGGACCTTGACTAGCGAAGTTTTAAATGCTCCAAGGATGGAGACCCTGCAGCCTCTCTGCACATCTGTTCACTGTTCAAGCAGGAATCCATGAATGATACTTCAAAAATCCCCAAACAATTCCACTGAAGGAGCGGAGAGAGTGCTACCCGTATGGCAAAGATACCTACTAAGCAGACACTGACAGGCCACTGAGAACAGAAAGGCATCACAAGAAGCAGCGCAGTACGTGGCTTCACAAAACTCTGATTTCAGTAACTGCAAGTGACACTGCTGGAGCACAGCATCCCTTTCTGCTGCCCCCAGAACGAGAGATATAAAGGCCTTTTCCCCCTCATGACTTGCTTTGTTTCTGTGCGTCTGGTACACAGGCGAGGAGTTCTGCACCTGCATGAAAGCCGTGGCATCCACGACCTCGGCTTGCCACGCTGGCAGCTGTCCCTCTGCCTCTTGGTGGTGGTGATCATTCTTTTCTTTAGTCTGTGGAAAGGCGTGAAGACTTCAGGAAAGGTAAAGCTAATATTCTCCTTCTATCTCAACTTTATGTTCTTGGTCTCTTTTATTAAGTCTCCTAATTTTAGAAAGCAAGAGACTAAATCACTGCATCTGAGGGATCCCCTCAAGCGGAGGGGAGATCCTTTGGGAGAGGCCTTTGCGTTTGTACTTTACAGCGTGGAATGCACGCTTCAGATTCAGCCTTTATTTTATCTTCAAGTCTTATTTGTGTGATGTTCAAACTGGAAATTTTATTGGCCTATTATTTTCAATTCAGCATTAGTGGTCTCATCCAGAAAATACTGAAGATGCTTTGAATAGTCTGACATGTGCCTCCTATTCTTGGACAAGTCTACTAGTGTTTTGACAGCTTAAGATGCTTTGCTTATATGACACAAAACGTTGTGACAGGAGAAATAATGCTGTGACAAGAGAAATACCTGATAACCTTGCAAGTAATTTGCAATTACTCTTTGACATCCCTCAGAAAAAACTTCACCAGAAATTCTAGGGTTGGATATATTTCAGAGCTCTGTGTACATTTTCATGGAAGTATCACCACCTAACATCAGGCAATCACCGCACTTATGCTGTAACCCATAGCTGAACAGCTAATCAGCAGTTGAACACAAACACCAGTACTGTATAAACACTCCAGCAAATCTTGTTTGACAAAATTGTCTCCTACTAACATTCATATACATACATATGAACTCTTCATAATACCTAACAGCACTTTTCTCTGAGACAGGCTATAAAAACAAATCAGGAACTTCTCCATAAAACAGAATGGACAAGCGCAAGAAAGTGTTACTTGTATTTTTCACATATTCTTAAAACTTTCATAATATCTGATTAACTTTTGGGATCTCTGTTGTCCGCAGGTTGTGTGGATAACAGCCACTTTGCCTTACGTTGTATTATTTGTCTTGTTAATACATGGCATTACCTTGCCTGGTGCATACAATGGAATAAATGCATACCTGCACATAGATTTCAGAAGATTAAAAGAAGCCACAGTAAGTGTACTCTTCTGCTCTCATTCCCTATTACTATTAATACTGTTCCATCTATTATTAAAACTGTAACTATTGAAGTTCTGAAATGATACAGCCATACTTTCGCTTTTGGGTACTTGCTCTGATAGGCTAAATTTCCAATACCCTCATAATGATGGTAACAGGAATATTTAACTGGAATTCAAATTACTCTAATCACTAGAAACTGTCTAAGGGCGGTTTCAGGTCTGGCAGTCCCTCAAGTAGTACATGCTTTGACTGTGCCCTCAGTAGATTGCCATATCCTTTATACAGGAAGATTGGGTCATACAAAAAATTAGCTATCAAAAAGCTACGAGTTCCCTCAAGAAGGTGATTTTGCTTCTTGAATCACAAAGTTAAATGTTAACATAGTGAATAAAAAAAAAGAGGCATAGGAACACATTTGTAAACATATTAAGTCAGGATTCACCCACCAGGCCATTGTACTTTAAATGAATGAGACTTTCATTTGTAGGATGTTCTTATCATACTATTGAAAATAATGTACTTTTCACTGTATCATTTAATGACATTGTAAGACATTCTAATGAAATATAACCAAATCAATTCAATCCGTGGAGTACTTCAGGACTAAGAATTAAGTTCTTTCATCCATTGTAAAGCAAGACCTACAATAAAGTCAATAACTCATGAAATCATCAGCATCTCAGCTCTAACAGCAGAGATCAGATGGCTAGAGATAGATCTTACCACTGTGCTACTCTACAAATATCATGAATCACTAAGAGACCTCTCTCTGCATCGGCTACCATACTATTCAAATGGGTACGAAATAGAAAAGCAAGGACATAGTTGTACTAGAAGGAAATAAACGGCCTTGGAAATTCACAGCTTTCAGAGAGATGCGAGGGTAGTGTGCACGCAGGTGCACTGTGCACTTCCTCTGGATCTTGATTTTACTCTGCTGATTTTGCCTGAGTAATTAAAAAGGCAGACCAAGATGTCTTAAGTGTTAGCATCCAAAACTATTTCATACAGTGTTAGCTTTAAAAAAAAAAAAAAAAGGGAAAGAAAAAAACTGAGGAAGGATTGTTTGGAGGTAATTTTAGGAACTTGGCATAACCCATATTTGGATTCCTTCAACAAGAGAGTTATCACCAGAACCCAAATGCCAGCTCACTCCAATTTGGAGTACTCAAATCCTGTTCAAATACTGCAGTTTGATCAACCCGTGTCACCAAAGCACTGGCCACCTCAGTGGTTCACGTTTATGCATATGCATAAATCAATACAAAGATGCAAGTCTGAGTAAAGACGCTACTTAATTTTTTCTTAGTATTTTAAGTGGTATTTGGAACAAAAACGTTACAGGTTCAAAAAGATGTCTATGGAACTGTGCCAGCTTACATCAGCTCCAAGTCTAGGCCTCCAAACTCATAACTGCCTTCTGCTTTCAAAAGGATACTTCTGTGCACTGCTCTTTCTTGGCTTAACATTTGTGCAGCTGCTAGTTGGCTGACCCTAAAGTTATTTGTTTCTAAGACTAAATGTTTCAGATGACTTAAAAAAAAAAAATTGCTGTAGAAAAATAGAAGATCGAAGATGAGTTTTAAAGAGAACTTTCCCAAACTGCTGGTCACATCAGCCTTCTCCTGTTCAGAGACTGGGTCACCTGCCGGTGCAATGGATTTGCACATTTAATTTCTTTCCTAAGGCCCCAAAAGAACAGACTCCTGCTTCAGTTCCAGCCAGTGTGTCCCTGAATCTGATTTATGAATTTTTTCCCCCAAATGAACTGTTATCCAAAACAAAAATGTCGTAAGTCAAACTTAAACAGTGATGGCCCAGTGATGGGCCAGTGTTCTTACAGAAGACATTAGAGCACCCTGATCACAAAATGAATGCCCCCCTCATCTCCTAGGACTGCGTCCTTCACAGAACTGAGCGCACCCTGAGACATCACAATTGTCAGTGGTATTTGAACCCACAAAGGGTAAGCTCTATAAAAGAGAAAAAATTCATCTGAGGAGTTCTTAATTAGACCAATGCTCAGCTCCACTCCCTTGCTGAAAGTCCAGGAGCTACAAAGCTGTAATACTCTTGGTGCCACTGCACAAGTGAGTAAGTTGAGCACCTGTGTAAAATGGCAGCTCTGCTTCTGTTCTACAAAAGGAACAGTATTAACCACAGAGTTAAATCAGACAAATCAGGAATTCTGGGTCAGGAAGGAGACACTTGCTCTTTTGTACTCAGTAACAAGTTTCCTGAGGATTACACTAATGTCTGGGGGTGCACATGAAGTTTTCTTTCCACAAAGCACAGTACTTCTTTAAATCTACATATGAACGTAGAATATGCACAAGAATTACAACAGTTTAAGCAAACAGGAAGGCAGCTGGAAAGACTAACTATAACCTCCTGTGAAACATTTTTTTTCATTTTCAATGCATATAAAGAAAACCTAATATCCTACCATAAAATGTATTAGACTACACGTTATTTAGAAGACATTCAGTTGAAGCCAACATAGCAACGTGAGTGTAAACAGCAGAAAACAAGCCCCACCGCCTCTGATTAGCATCCTGTTTTGTTGTAACAGAGGGAATGTTTTGCATTTAATCTTAGTTCTAAGGGAATTTCTGGTTTCTGCTCCTTGTTCTTTCACCTTGATCTTCTCAGCAGCTGATTAGAAAACAGAAATTATGGGCCAAAACTCTTACTCAATACATACTTAAGCATGTGCATAGCTCCCTTCCTAGGCAGCAGGTGCTAACCTCTTATTTGAAACAACAGGATTCAAGCAAGTATTTAACAGTGCTGGAACAGTAAGAGAGCAGAAGTATAATGAGTACAATTCAACCAGTAAGACACAAAAGAGCTAGAGAATCACTAAAAACCCAAGTATCTTATGGTGGCAGTATGTTGATCTAGTTATAGTTTAGACTATTTATTTTTAAAAATTTCATGCACTTCACTATTAACACCACTTATGTAAAGTTTTAAAAACACAAGCAAAATCGTAGGGGCTTTTGCATTCCTCTACACTTCCATAATATACATTAAATACTCTTCGGAGAGAATGACCCTGTCTGATCTCCACCTTTGCGTGGAGACAGAACATAAAGATGCGACCGGATATAAAAGGAATGAGCAAGAAATTCATTTTACAGAATTTTTGCTGTTTAGCGAGAAATCCTTGACACCTAAGCCCCGAACTGCAATTTGAGAAAATCACATCTATGTAGCTATTCTGATCCGCAATGAAGCACGCGCCTCATAGACTTTTTATTATACTGTCCTTCGAGCAATTAATAACTCTCAATAGCCCATAAAATTAAATTTCCCTCCAAATGCAGTAGAATTCAATGAATGGTTCACAGTCCTCAGCAGGCAGTAATTGAGAGCATCTATGTTGAGAAAAATACATAATTTGCATAAGTGCTTTCAAATATCACGTCAGAATGGGATACACCTCTCTTTCTTTAGATTGAGCCAAACATGAAAGCTTAGCACAAAACCACCAGGGCATGTGGAATTCATAAGCTCCTTAGAACTGCTAGTAAACCACTGCTGAATAAATTCATTGGGGATGATTCTAGAGAGGTGTCTTGAACGCTTGGCAGATTTAGCCAAACCTTGAGGATCTCATTTTGGGAAGTGCTAAGGACTATTCACTCCACTGATGTCATTACCCTTCTTGAATTTAGTTGGAAGATGTTTTGTTTATTTAAATATCTCTGTGTAATAACTGAATAAATGAAACCCTCATTAGCCAGAGAAGACTATTTTCAGGCTTGTAATTCTGGAGGCCAGCGCTGTGGCGTCGTTCCTGATGGCTGTCTGCACATCTCGAGTGGATGTTGTGCTGGCGATTCTGTTCAGAAAATGTTATTCTTACATAGCATTAAAAACATGTTTTCCCCAGTGGACAATTCTTAAAATGACTCAGCTACATCAAAACTCAAATTTAATGACTATCACAGGAACAACTTCTCCAATCAAATGGGAAAGAAGGTGGCAGATATCTTGGATGGTTCTGTTCACAGCACGTCAGTCACGCTCCAGCTTCTGAAGCGAGAAAGCTTCATATAAAGTGTATCAACAGACCCATGAAGAAAGCTCTCTTAAGGGAAGGAAAATGTTCTGCAACTCCTGACCTGTTAACTATTTTTAGATTCCTAGCTGTACATTTGAAAACTAACTTGGAACCAGCCGTAGTAGAAGTGTATTTGTGTCACCCAGAAAAAAGATCACGTCATCATTTCAGTGCTTGGTCAAAGCTCAGAAGTACCGATCCACGGGGCATGCCCCACTGGGGGAGCAGCATGCATGCACTAGGAGCTGGCCCACTCCTCAGGCACTTACCACTTCATGGTAAGCAGTTTCAGAGCATGACTATACTCCACGTGACTGTTCTTGGGGGCTGGAAAGCACTACAATCTTGTGAGTGTTGATTGTGTCTTTTCACAAGACCTCTAAAGCCAGTTGTCTTGCACAGTTCTTGCATTTCCCTGACATATCTTTTGGACTGAACTAACTCTCTAATGATGTTGGTCTCATTATGCAGGTATGGATTGATGCAGCCACTCAAATATTTTACTCCTTAGGAGCTGGGTTTGGAGTTTTAATTGCATTTGCCAGTTACAATAAGTTTGACAACAACTGTTACAGGTATGATAGGCTATTCTTTCATTACTGCTTCAGAATGACATTATTTTACCCTGTAACAACAGCTAGAATAAGTATTTAGATATCTTTTTATCTTCAGTCATTTATTAATGATTGTCAATCTCGTGTGGACATAGCAACCAACCCAAAACTTGAATCGCTATCTCCCTTGCTGAAATTTTAGCAACAGCAGCCTGCCAAGATATCTGCTCTTCTGCAAAACAGAATGGGATTAAGTTTAGACTTTAGACAGCTGTGTAAACTGTACTTGTGTTTGTCTTTCAAAAGTACCACTAAAAGCAACAGTGAACATGGGATGGAATCTTATTGGTCCAGAAACTAAAAACCAGGATTCCAGTTTTCAGAAGTGTTTTTAAGCTTTGCGGTTATGTTTCTGCTATTTTATGTTGGGATCTAATTTAAGAACGCAGTTTAAATCAAGTCAATTTATAAGTCTTTTGCTGAATCATTGCCATGGAAATTTGACCAGAGCCACTTTGGTGCTCTGCACCTTCAGAGAACTTCTAACATTTAAAATTTTGTTATCATTCCATTTTGGAATGAAAGCAAGTATCCTTTAAACGTTTCCCATGAAATATAAATTCAGAAAGTACATGTATTACAGACACATTGTGAACTAAGCAACAACAAAAAATGTTAAAGTGAAAAGGTAGAAGAGAATAAATGGACTTGAAATGCTTTGAGTGGATGCGAAGCCAAAATCATGGAATATTTCCACTGATTTTAATAAGCTTTGTACTCAACCCAGAATGACTAAGTTCCCAGCCAATTAGCCAGACGAGGTGATTTACTAAGGATAACCCTTCAGATAGAACGCTAGTCATATCAATCTTCCAATATGACATTTATTGTCTCCTGCAAATAATTTTGCATTACTCTCATAGCAGCTTCCCACATAATTTTGTTCTGTATTTGACTAATTTTGCTCCTAAATTACAAGCAATAGACTTGAAACTAAGAAAACACCACAGGCAACATATGAAATCATATTATTCTGTTCTTCGCTTATTACATTTGCCCAGTGTTGCTTTACTGGTCTTGCCTTCCCTGTACAAGTAACGTGTAGCTTCATGAAACAATGCTTCTATTCTAACAATAAAAGCAAGCTTTAATTCAATGATGCAAATAATGCAAAACACTTAAAACACTTGCAAATACCCTTCTTTTGGTAAAATAACTGCAGAACATTATCTTAGTTATAACCAAAACACTTTCTCGTAACAGAACAAATTGGAAATAGTACTGAGTTTCCAACTGAAGGCCACAGCTCACCACTGTACTGCCCCATCTATACCTCAGCACACCTCTGTGAGAGAAATAACGTCAGTAACGTAAGCCAGAATAACAGTACTGAAAATCAGCGCCAGGAAATATGAAAATCTGTACCTGAGTGACCCCTCAGTATTTTGCATGCATCTCAGCTCAGCTTATAAACAGATGAGCATCACTTGATCCAGTCAGTGACTAAACGAAAAGAAACGTTACTCATTTGCATGAGGCCTTTTTGAATTGTGGAAAACAAGAAATATTGTCGTTTTGCTTTATCAGCGACAAATATCTAGCAGTTTTCTTTAATAACTGAAAAGAATTTGAGTTTATGGGTCCAATTTGGTCCCTTTTGATCCTGCAAGCCTTCCCACAGGGGAACATTTTAATGAGAATTGCAGGACATACTAAATTCTTCAATGCTATTAAAACATAGTAACATCCAGAAGAGGATAAAACTTAGTATATAGCACCTATGTTTACTGGTAGGGTAACTGATGATAGGAAATCATATTTACTTTCTTTTTATTAAAGCATTGTTTGGCATCACTGATGTTCAGAGGCACGTCCTCTGTTCTAAAGGTCATATCCAGCCAAAGCCTACATATTAGTCTACATAACCTGGGCAGTATTATCTAAATTAGAGACGTTTGGTGGTCTGCTTATCAAAGAGCTAGACTTGGCAACGTGGCTTGTTAATATACATGAAAATTCATGTCTATTATAACACCTTATAATATTATAATTGGCAGATTAATTGGAAAAACAACCCCACAACTTTGTTATAATAGTCAATTTGGTTTAAAAGTTAAACATTATACAACATTTATCATACAGTAATGACTGTGCAACTTGATACACAAGAGTGTCTGAATTTCAGAAAAGCTGAGCCAACTTCATAGATGAAGGGACCTTCTTACAAATTCATGATGGCCATCCAGTGTCATCCTAATGGCAGCACAATCTGCTAAAAATGCATTCCCGGAGCTACCTGAAAATCTTCCCAAATAGCTGCTCACATGGATCGCTCCTGAATCATGTAAATACTCCCTAATGAAGCTCGCTCTTCACTTCAGGCCATGCTCTTGCTATGTTACAGCTACCAGCTAGGATGATGAGCTTACTCTTTAATATTTAACATACTTTTTTTTGTTTTAACAGAGCTTAACTCCAAATCAAATTAGTAAACAAAAACAGATCATTTCCTAGCACAGTATGCTGATATGAGCTTTTGATCATCAGGATAATTGCTTAATTAGCATTTTCACCAAAATCTTCCTATCACTGTAACACAATCCTCATATAGTTCCTAAAGTTTTTTTTTTTTCACTAGCTTATTCTTCTCTCCATCATATTAGGGACGCTTTGCTGACTAGTACCATTAACTGTGTCACAAGCTTCATCTCAGGATTCGCAATTTTCTCCATACTGGGCTACATGGCTCATGAGCACAAAGTTAAAATTGAGGATGTAGCCACTGAAGGTAGGAAGTGAACTTTATACTAGTTTTACCCCTTTTCTTCCATCATTTATTTGCAAATATGTTTACATTTGTTTCAAACAAGCAAGTGAAAAATCTCATGGAAGGCACCTGAAAGATTACTTGGGCTCTAAAAGTCGGTGTTTAAGTACCTTGTTGAAATGTGAACTATAAGTGGTATTGATTGATGTCAGCTCTACTAAACAGAGGACATCTTGTCCCTCATGAGACCAGCTTGTGCAGCAAATAGGCCTTTCCACTGCACAGTACCTGGGGAAAATGCTGCTGTGCAGTGCCACAGGCTACTGCTTTTAAATGGTTCTGGGTGAGCTTAGCTGTAGACTTTTCCCCAGTAACAGGTCACCCACCGTTTCTGTTCCTTTCTCTCTTTTATCACATCCAAGAATTCTCCTTCCAAAACAGTGGATTGCCCTTCCACAGCATTCCTTTTACACTATACAACTGAAAAATAGCTAGTAAGATTTGGTGAGTTCCTGTCTCAAAGCTTTGAAGGTATGAATTGCATAAAACATTGAGAAGTGTAAAAAAGTCAGAACAGATTTATATAGCCAAAACTGTCCTGCAAAGTGCCTTATTAAAGTATTTCATATCCATTTCAGTATAATGCAAATCTTTGTTCCAAGTATGATAAAGTACTCACAGACTGTGATGTACACTGATGTAACAGCCAACTTGGTCATAATTTATCCTATTAAAATGAACACTTGAAAAGTTAAGAAATACTTTGAGAAGTTTAGTAAAGTAAATATTATTTAGAACTTTTTTTTCTTTTCCATTTCAGGAGCTGGTTTAGTTTTTATCCTTTATCCAGAGGCAATTTCAACTCTTTCAGGATCTACGTTTTGGGCTGTGGTATTCTTCATCATGCTCCTTACTCTTGGCATTGACAGTTCTGTGAGTATTTTTCCTTCTGGTCATGCTGTTTTTCTTTACTATTATCTTCTATAACTGGAGAGGTATTGGGTCTTAAATAGGGGGGTTGTTACATTTCAAATACATTTTCTGTACACTCCTTGAAACTGCTTTCACAGTCACAGCCGACACACCAATAATGTTACTCTTGGCAGTATATTTAATTAAAGACTCATGTTATTTAAGAGGTTTAGGAAGAGATCAGATAATTTACAAGCCAGCAAATAATATTCACTGTTTCTTTTTTTTTCTTTTTTATGACCTTAGGGAGGGGGCCTGTTCATCAACAATTATTACTATTTAAAGGGTATGATCCAAGAGCACTGCTATGAACTGCTGTTACTACTACAAACCTGCAGTAAGATTTTGAACCCCAGTTGTATCAGGTGGCACAGTAACACGCATATTGGTTTCTAAAAGAGATTGTCACATGTGCTGAGATTCACTAATCTACTGAAGACACAAACAATACCTGATGATAGCCTGATCTTTTTTAGACTATAATACTGAATTTACTGCAAATTTAGTCACTATTTAATAATCACACCAGATTATTTCTGCACTGATTTTATTACACTTATTTTATTCAAAAACATCTAATCTACATAAAACAAAGATTAAACCTGAAGAATAAGATATCTGTTTTCACAGCAAGGGAGTAACAATAAAGAACTAGCAGTGAGAAGATTTGTTTCATTTTGGAATTAAATTCAGTATTAGGCTTGGTTTTCTGGCTGTCACTCAGCACTAAAGACCATTCGCTCTTTCTACAAAGAGATGACTTATACTGTACCATGGTATTCAGGATCACAGAAACTGTAGCCGTACAGGAAATATGCTAAGTACCCTAACAGCCTTTGCATTGCTTTGTTCTTGCCAAAGGGGCAGCCAGACATCCAGTAATATTTAGGTTAAAAGCTAATTTATTTAGGGGAAAAAACAAATGGAGTCTCAAAGAACATTGCCATGAACAATCATTAATCATGTTTAATAGGGTGGCTTTTTTTTTTTTTTAAACTATTCTGAAGCACAAAAGCCTCTTGTATAGTTCAGAATCTATACAGCTGATCTAGGAATTTGTTGCTGAAAAAGGAAAAAATAGCTTTTCTGTTGCTTGTAACTTCAGAAAACTTCATTCATTTTCAAGAACAAGAAAGGAAAAGAAAGCACTGGCTAAAAAAAAAAGTTGCAGAAGGAAGCTTTTGATCATCACTGACAAATAGGTGAATGAAATCTTGTGGATCAAAATATGAGCTGTAAAGCTCAGATCCAGGTCTAAATGTTTCTCAAGTGTTTGGATGTTTGAATTCCAGCTCAGATTCATTAAAGTTTGGCTTAATCTTTACACTAAGATCCTATTCAAAAGCTTGAGGCAAGATCGTATCTGGCTTTCTACTTCTGCCATTTTTCAACCATAAGCAACCATGAAGGCTGGAAAAGAAAGATTTAGCATAATGGAAGGGCATAAGTGACCAGAAGAAACAAGGCAGAACTAAGAGAAAAACACAGATAAGTTTTTACATCCCATTTAACTTTGCTAGTGCAGTAAATTTAAGGCTGTGATACATTTGACTGAGTAAAGACATAGGGTTTTAGACTGCAGAACTCTTTTGCTAAGGAAGAAAACCTCAGAGCTAACCCTATAGCTTTGGGGTAGGGATTTGCTTATTTGTATTTTCCTCAGGATTATTCAATGTTATCCAAGTATACTCAGCTTATGCAATGTTTTGTATGGTGGTCTTCTCAACTCTCTCCTCTGACTGATCAAATCCTTGAGTGGAAAATAAAAATATTAAAGCTTAAATTTAATTAATTAAAATCAAATAATACCCAAAATTAAAGATGAAGAATAATACATAAATACTTTACTCATGCATACAAATTAGTTTTCTATAAATGAATTTACTCAGACACTGGCTCAAAAACACAGATATCCGTACAAAAGTAAAATTATCGAAACGATTAAGGAAAGCAAAATCTAATTATGCAAGTGCTGGCAAACAACAATGAGAAGGACAGGAAATGGAACAAACGTTTGCAAACACAATATTTTTGTGGTATGTATCTAGCTTGCCATGGGAAATGAACACATGCAATAAGCACAGCCATGCGCTAAGAAGCGGCGCCTAGCCAAGAGAATCCAAAGGGTCTCTTTCCATTTCCAACTTCTCCAAGTCTGTTAAAGTGCTAACATGGCAACCATTTCTGAGACCATCAACCATTAACCTATCTTTTAACTGTAAGGCACTCACAGATGTTCCCTCGGCAGCTTGAGCGAATAAAAGCCAAGACTAGGTTTTGGACCGTTTCACTTGTGACTGTTAGTTTCCTTTAAAAAAGCAAAACAAAAAATCCAAAACAATCAAAAAAAATTGCAAAAAACACCTTACTCTAGCACCCCCAGCCATTTGGCTCTAGATTGGAATCACTTGTTGTATACAGACAATTCTCAGCTACTGAACTGACTCGAAGAGAGATGTTGATTTCTCCAAATTCTTACAAGAAAAGGCCAGACTATGCCAGTACCTGCTAATCAACTACTGTACTGCACCAAGCACTCCAGGTTTTGTCATGCTCTTTCAGCACAAGAAAAAGCAGGGAATGCAGCTTTCCGGAAGGACTGTAAAATATTAAATAAGTTTGTTCATCACTACGAGGAGGCTTGAATTCATTTTCACAAAACTTCTTGGTAGGGGAGGGACAGAATGCTTACATTAGTGTAAAGAAATTAAAATTCAAAACAACCTACATAATATATAATAGCAATTTCAATGGAAACTTGGAAAGTACTCTGCGAAAAGGCTGTGAAAAAGCAAAGCACTAATGTTCAGCATTTACTTCTAGAAAGCAAAGTAAAATTCCTTCATAGTGTAATCAGAAAAATGAGATCATGCTGACTACATAGTCTGACAAAGACCAGGGAACATGACTAGATTTGGATAACCGATGGCTTAACTGAATCTTTTTTCAATAGATTTTCCCCGGGTGCTTGTTGTCTCTCTATATTAAAAGTCTCTTCAGGAGTTAGATCAGTTAAGCTACCAGTTTTTCCCAAAGTTCATTCAAATGCATGCTGTTTTTCCCAAAGTACTCTTTACCCACTATCCCAGTGAGTCAGCAAAGGGTCAGTACAGGATAGGGCAACCAAGCCAACAACCATGGCACTTTGATGTCCGGTTCTCTAACTATATCCTCAGTTCTCTACTGACGAAAAATAAGTTGCACTTCAGCATGCCAGTCTTGTAAGGCTGCAAGGTGAGAAACCATACAGAGTTTAGGAATGAATTACAAGCTGATTTACATTCTTAGATCTGTGTTTCAACTGTGCGTCAATCCTGTTTAACCAGAGCTCCTGCCTTCCTTTCCTCAGATGGGTGGAATGGAAGCTGTCATCACTGGCTTGGCAGATGATTTCCAAATTCTCAAGCAGCACAGAAAACTCTTCACCTTTGGTGTTTCTTTTGGCACTTTCCTACTTGCCCTGTTTTGTATCACCAATGTAAGTAGAACAAAAGTTTCCATCAGCAAGCTACCTTAAAAATGTAGTTAATCCCATCAGATAGAAGTAAGTGTCTCTCAGGTGGCCCTATCTTTTTACTATTGATAATTTTAATTCTTAACCAACATTCTGGCCAATATATTACTTTTGAGTCTTACCTACCATGATGCTTCTTCTGGTCTTTTTGGTACAAGATTATTAGGCCTTAACTGAACCCATAAGCATCCGTTCCAAAGAAATTTGTGCACTCCAGGTGTTATTTTATCGTATTTAATTGAACTGCATCAAGGGTCTAGTTCTGTGTGAGGAACTACGGATTTCAAGTAGTCACCTAGCTTTTTCACCTAGCTATTCTCTTCTTGAAGACAACAAAATTTACCAACAGAAGCATTTACTTCTTGTGAGTTTAGAAAAATAATCTCCTCCTCCTCCCATATGTTCCTTAATGTACCTATATCTGACCTCGTACTGCTAACACCATAAAAAGCACATTGATAACCTATCCTGCAAATCTAGTGTACTGCATTTATCACAACCATCTTCTGATGTTTTCCTCATCCTGAATCATTTGCTGTACCAGGCTTTTGACAGTTAAACAGACAATGAGGATTACAATGTTCTAGGTTGGATGTCCTGCAGCAAGCGCGCCTTCCTATTTTTGGCAAAAAGCCCTGTAGGCAAAGATGTCAAAAGTGTCAGAAAACATGCTAAATTTGAAGTTGCCACAATGAAAGTAGATGTGCTCAAACCCCTCTTCTGCCCCAGGAATGGTTTTCAGATCTATTATTGAAATTCCTGAAATAGCATGAGTTTACAAGTTGACAAAGCTCTTTTTTACACTAAAAGAATATCTCAATAACTTTACTCTAGTTTTCTCAAACTAGAAGCATTTGAGAAACAAAAAAAAATGTATATCATATTTTAAATATCTGTCCTTTTTATACTGCACTGTCCCTATTGTTATCTTAAGAACTTGACATGCTCATTCAAATGCTCGACTGGGGTAAAAATTCCTGAAGTACGAAAGAAACTCTTAGGCAAGAGCCTAAGCAGGTGCTCCCGGTCAGGTAAGAGCCTGAGACCCTAAACAGGTACCAATGGGTGCAATTCCACTGCCTTCAAGGAAGCTAAAGCAGGTAAAGATAGCAATTGAGCTCTCAGAAATAATGACACCTATGTAGGATGAAGTTCAGCCAGCCAGCTGGTATGCACTGAACTACGCAGACTTGTTCAAATATATTGCTTCCCCTAACTGAAGGGCATTTCTAACATGTACATGAAACACAGATAAACCCTTGTGATACCATCATATTAAAATAATCTGTTTGATTTTGCCCTCTGAAATCTTGAGACTGTATTTCCAAAACATGTTTATTACATAATCGTATTTGTTATTCACTTTGCTAACCTTTGATAGCAGAGGCATTCATTTAGAGCAGGTGTAGAACAAAAACAGGCGAGTCAAAATGAAACGGCATTCAAGCAACATTTTCTTTCTAACACAACAAAAGTTCATTCAGTTTTCAGACAAGTCTTCACAGAATTAAAACTCAAGACATGGCTTGAATACTGTTCTCTATTTTTGTAAAACACACATCTATTTCCAAAAAATTCATGTTTTTAATCAGTAAAAAGAAAATATTGATTGATTGCACAGATTAAAATCACCTAGAGAGCTAAACAGCACAAGTGCTATTTATACCATTGATAAAAGATACATAAAATAGTAAGTAGAAATAACAGAAAATAATTCCTTTCCCTCCTCTTCTGAACAGACATATTCAGATTAAATTTGGTTGTAATAAAGGATTATCAACTGTAAACATTGTAGTTATTTTACATGCATCTTGAAACACTTTATTCAACTTAATTTTGAAACAAGTAAACATACCACACTCTTCCGTTCCTCTTAAGCCCACACTCAGTAAAATGAGGAGTAATTTACACAAATCCCTACCATATTGTAATAGTGAGCTAAAGCATAGTTAAGTTGTGTCTGGAAAGCAATTAAGCATGACTTTAGTAAATCCAGTTACAGTTCTCAGTCATGCACTGCTGAGACGTGCTTTTGTCAAGAAAGATGATCTGGGTTGCTGTCTCCACCAAAGGCGGGCTAACGCTGCAGCCGCCGAGAAGGTAAATTTTGCAGGGCAAAGCTGCCCTGTTCCCATGCTGGCTGCTGAAAAACATTTTGCATGCAACTGCTCCTTTTGCAGCAACATGGGAAAAGGGAGATGTGGGCACGCAGGCAAACAGAACCAGTTCTCCGCCTGCAGAGCGAATCTCCGACTGCATTAACTGGACTACAGAATAATTGGCCTTCAGAAGAAATTGAGTGATAATGGCTTGTGAAAACTCTTGTAGCACTCCATTTCCTGCTGGTAATTTAAGATCTTCATTAACTGCCGTAGAGAAGCCCAGTCTCCCAAGCTGCTGAGCACGCCACTAGCCAGGCAGGGCCTTCAACTCCCACTGAAAATACCCTGAGCGCTGAGAGCCTTGTTAATCAAGCTACACTGAGTTTCCCAGTTCAGTGAAGATGTAGGTGAAAGAAAGACTACATAAAAGAGCTGCAAGTCTGATTCCACTGTTTTGCATACAAATACAAACCTGTGTGCCCTGCTTCCACACATGTATTAGAATACTTCAGTTCAAATATTTCAAGGAAAACAGATTTCTGCTAACTAGAAACTAAGCTAAAACGATTCCATTTGTGACTTTGTTTTGATGCATCTTTTAACTCCTTAATGCTAGGGTGGAATTTATGTGCTCACACTTCTGGACACATTTGCAGCTGGGACTTCTATATTGTTTGCGGTTTTAATGGAGGCAATTGGCGTTTCCTGGTTTTATGGTAAGCACTTCATTTTGCTCCTGCAAAATCTTTTCTAAAATTCCAAGTGTGCTCATGATAGGCTTGTGTGTTGTTTTAAGGGAAAACAAAGTAGCCTTATACACAGGAGAGCGTGACAAGCCAGGTTTCATGCAATGATTTTCATCTGACTTACAAATAGTGACAGGAATGCAGATGTTCAATGGGCCAAATTTTGAAACTTAGCACAAAGCCAAAGAAAACTGCCTTGTGAAGACGACTGCAAAGGGAAGAAAATGCTATCCTTCTTGCCAGGACTTTGCAGCTGCTAACATAGCTGATGACTTGCAGTGGCAGGTTTATACCCCTATCGTGGTTTCCAAGTGGATTAGCCTAAACACAGATTCACATGTTCCTCCTTTCCATGATTTCCCTCAGGGCCAATCCCAAGCCTACATGCAACAGGAAAAAAAAAAAGGCAGTTTGTCTTTACAAACTTGTAATAATTTCTATATTAGTCCCTTCAGTTTGAGACAATATTATACTTAATTATAAAACACTCCAGCTGAATTTTATCTTATCTCACAGCATGAAATGGAATATCCAATAACACCCTAGAAATAGGATTAATATGTACCACAAAAAAGGAGTAAAGTAAATGGTTTTATCCTCAGTATGACAGCCTAGTCTAGGAGCATTCAGTTCACCGGTGGTACTACGATGGAATCACTCTATGTCAACTAGATGTGCTATGGTACTCTGAAAAAAAAAAAAAAAACTTAACTGTTAGGCAAGCCTCAGAAGATGCACCCAGCTTCCTTAATAATTGCTCTAACCTTATTTTGTCCTTAATACTTTTCTCCTCCCCAAAGCAGTAACATAAACAAAAGCAACACATTAGATGCATAAGTCTTGTAGGAGAGAAGAAAAAATATTTTTTTCTTTCCTGCTGTATAAATTACCACAATATTGGCAAACAGCCACTACTCCTCCTCTAAACCCATATGAATGCACCTGGATAGCCTTAGCTGGGAAAAAAAACACCACACACCCCAAAATTGTGCTTTCAGCCACTACAGTGAGTTTGGCAAAATAGCAAGACACCGAGTCTGCCTGAGCTCAGTTCTTAACCTCCAGAAACTTCAGTCTTGTGAAGAAGCGTCCTGCATTTTCTAATTTCACCAAGGAAAACAACACAGTCCTGTGGTATAAATGACAAGAAAATTGAGTACATCTATTCCCAAAGAAGCAAAACAAAAAGGTTAAACTGCACATTGCTTACAGAAAAAATGTTTCAAGACTCAACTAAATCTCTGTTTATAAAGTCATAAAAGAGAGTGAGAGTATAAGAGAAATCCTGCCCTGTGGTGTTCTACCCATCCCTATTCAACACTGAATAGGTGAGGAGTTTTTAATACCTGGAGCCTTCATTTCGAACATTTCTATTCCTCCCTCTCCTCCCCCAACCTAGAGGACAGATCAAACATTTAAAACGTCACCTATCACATAGGAAGATATGGGGATTCATCACCTCAATCTTACTCACTGGAAAAATTCCACCTCCAGAACAGTGGAAATTACAAAATCCTGTTAGTCATCAAATCATGCAGAAAAAAAATTGGATATAATTAGGTCAGTCTGAATTAGGCATATCTTGCTAGAGAAAGAGTGCAAAACATTCACTCTTTCTTTCGGGGAGGATACTATCAGTTCTTCATCTAGTCACAGATGGTTGGTAAAACTATAAGGATTTCAGAAGAATATCTCATTTGCTTCAAGTTGACCAATAGGATTTTCTGGATTTCCTCCAAAGATTCCATATTGAATATTAAAGTGAGAAGCCCTACAGTATGCCAGCAGAGAATTTCTCCAGTGTGTAATTATTCTCCAAAAAGGACAATCTTCTAACTTGCGAACATGAACTGTTGGCACGGTTGTCTTTGTAACCTCACTGAATGTGTTTCCAGTCACCTTCACAGATACTCTAAGTTCTGAAAACATGCTTCCAAATTATTTTTCCAAACTCAGTACTTATCTCTCACTACCACTTGCCATTAACAGCTGTGCTTATCCACTTTCAAAACCCAATATACACTCCAGCTCCCCCCTCCACACTCAGCCAAGCTCCTTGGCTTGTTTTTAAACTTGTTCTCATTTTATGAGATCCTTTTCAGGAGACACTTTTTTTTTTTTAAACCAGTTCTTGCAGAGCCACTGTAAATATTTTAGCAACACAATGCCAACATCTTGTAGATGGGTAAGACATAATCAGTTCAGCAATGCTATATTAATCAAAAACCTATCATTAGCTCAGTGACCCATCTAAGACTGAAAACCTTGGGTCTTACAAGTCAGCTCTCTGCAATGATCCAAACCATTGGTCACATCTGAAATTGCTTGCCACTAAACCTTCAGTCAAATCAACTTTCTTGGGCTATAAGTTTCCCATCTCCTCTTAATTCTCATGTCATACTTCCTATTTTGTCACACTTTTTCTCTTCATTATCAGGGTTCACAAGTGGCAGTAACCTGCAAATCTTTTTCCCATTGCAGTCTGTAGTGAACTAGCTGCCCTGATTTTTGATACGATTGTTCTCCCTCTAAGAGTCACCTTCATTTCTATTCAGAGACAGTGTTTATAATAACATATGAGTCAGTCCTTAGACATCATCATTCTTGCTGCCATTTACCTCCCTCAGTCACTGACTTAACGCCATCTGTACCACATCACTGTATTCTAGTCACTCTGTCCCTCCCATTTAAAAACTGCTGATGAGTGAATGAGCTGAAGGAATGGTATCCATGTGTAAAGCTGTTCAACCTACCAAAGCAAACAGTTTTAGTTTTAAAGTACTAATTGTCCTCCAACATCAGTATGGAGCTAGCAGCTTATCTGCTGTTTTCTCTCAAATTAAGTGGAGGCAACTATTTTTAATGGATGTAAAAGAGCTGAACGTAGAAAAGCGATCATAGCTTAGCTTGGAAGTAGAGGTATAAAAATACCACTGTTCAATAAGGGCAAGTTATTATCTGCTGCTATTAAAAGAGGATTTACTGTGCTTTACAATGGCTAGGATTTGGATGTGGTTCACAGAGTAACCCAGCCAAGCTTGGTCAGGTTTCATTTATTTGTTGTAACTTCTGTTCTCTTCCATCATCCCTTCCCTTCTTCTCCCTCCAACTGGGAGAATATCTATTCATTTGTCTTAAGCAGCTGACAGATGTTTTTACTGACACAATACGACCTGTTGCTTTATAAAGAACAATTTATTACAGCCCCAGGTGCTATTTAAACTGTTTTGACTGATTAAATCTGGCATGATCTTGTCTACCTCTTTTTCCTGATAGACCCCAGTTGCCTTAGTGACCCAGCAGGAACATTAAGCCAGCCTGAAGGCAGGCTGTGACATTTTGGCACAGACCAAAAAAGTAGAAATTTTTATAATTTGGTTCAAACAATCCTTATGTTCATTAACTGTGAAGTTTCTTCTTGCAAAAAGCCACCCAAACCTGCAAGAGATGGGGGAGCCAGTTTGCTTTAGTAAACAGATGCATTTTAGTTAAGACTGCTAGCATGTTTTCCTTGTGGGCAACCCTGAGCTCACTGCTCTGATATACATGCTAAAGAAAGGCAGACAGCACTCCCTGGGATACAAATCTGCTCCTCGGCTTCACTTGCAGGAAAATCTCCATTCAGTCAGAATCTCTAACATGAACATCTCTCCAAACCACTAGAAGTTCAGTATGAATTAGCAATGATCTTCAGCCTCTATTCTATTATCTTCCATTAGTGAAAGCCTTTCTAAAGAAAATCCTTTAGACTGAAATTTCATCCTTAAAGGTCAATTTGTTTGAAAAAAAAAGAGGTAAACTATTTGACTTGGTGAAAGGAAAAAGAGAGAAATTAACCAAGTACTGACTGCTGTCAGGCATTCTTTGCTCACACGTTTTAGTATTGATACACACGCCTGCCATGAAAGACAGTCAAGAAAAAGTATGATCACACAAACCACAGAATGGAAACATAAAGGAGACAAGCACAGATAAGACCCTGGTTCTTACAGGAGAAGGTGTCAAGGTAACTTAACACAGGTACTAGATGTGCAACCAGGAGCGGCGCTTTTCTGGATCTGCTGCTTGCAGTCAAGGAAGAGCCGCTCAGGAACGTGGCTACATGTAAGTCGTGGCTACATGTAAGCCAGCAGTGTGAGCTGGCAACAGAGAAGGCTAACAGTTACCGAACTCCATCAGCAGGAGCATAATCAGGAGACTAATTCATTCCTCCCTTTTACTTGGTACTTTTTGAATCAGACCTGGAATATTGTGTCCCATTGTCAGCACTCCTAGTACAAAAAAACATTAAACTCAAGAGAGTCCAGTGGAGGGCCACCAAGATGATCAGGGGACAGAAGCATGCGCCCTCTCAAGAAAGGCTGAGAGAACTGGACTTGTTGAGGTTGGAGAAGGCTTAGGGAGGACCTGGTAGCAGCCTTCCAGTACCTACAAGGAAGGTTTTGAGAAACAGAGCCAGGCTTTTCACTTAGGTGTGTGATGGGAGGACAAAACACAACAGTCATAAATTGAAAGAAGGGCAAAAAAAGAATTCTCTAACAGGATAATTGCTATTAATAGTTCTTATTATTTTCTTATTCAGTGTAGTTAATTTGATTTATTGGTTTCACCTAAATCAATAACTTTTTATTTATTGGTTCCATTTAAATATGGCATTATTATTATTTTTTACTTTCCAAATTAAAAAAAAGTTCAAGATTAGAAAAGAAATACATCACATACATAGGCATGAAGAGTTAAATAAGACAGGAGGGTAAAGCAACATATACAAAAATTGCCTGTAGGGCTCCAGATGAATGTTGGACACTACTTTTTGGAAACATGTGCCACTGTGAGCAATTTCACCTCAGGGCCAGGAACTGCACAAGAGCTTCTGTGCAACTGAGTTGGCTGATTCCTACACAGCAAAATGACTTATGGAGGTCTTAAAGACAGACAGGCAGATAGGGCACAAGGTATCAGCAATGTCTAGACTTTCATCCTATCTGAACTCTGATCTCTCCATCACTGAGCTGAAATAACATTGTTCCAATATTAGGAGGATAACTTTGATTATAGCCAAATCTATTTTTCAGTTTCTTCCTAATCAGTTCTCTTTTGCCCATTGATTTAATATCCTTGACACCACAGTAATATTTACAGATAAAACGGGTCAAGTTTCCTGTGCTGTTTAACAGGAAATACAATGGAGACGTTCCCAAGCAGCTTCAGTGTTTGTGTATTCAGAAACTACACAGAAATTCTCTTTGGGATTAGTGTATTGAACCCAGGTCTGATCATAAACTCTGTTAGCTGTTTTTCACTGAAAAAGCAAGGAAATTATTTCCACATAGGACAACCAAGTCTCCAGGCAAGTAAAGTAATTTGGAGTGATTGAAGGAGTCACCCAAAATGTAGGCTTATCAGTGGGTTATCTCACAGAATCACAAGGAAACCAGGTAAATCCTTTCAAGAAACGCAGAAAAAAACCCAAGCCCTAAGTACTGCCATATATAGTTATAGCTATGTTCTACTTTACAGGTTGATTCTTAGGATGGTTATTTGAAAACATATAGTATTAAAAAAGCACACTATTGAAAAAGCAGTCTGAGAGCACAGACTGTTTATCTCCTGTTCTTGGTAGAAACGGAACATGAAGCACTATTTGAGCTCTGGGTATGTCTGTCTGGGACTTCCAAAAGTTTTATTTATAGGTTACCTAGTCCTTGCTTTTGACCTCTTGCACAATGATAAATTTCACTCTCAGGATTCACCGCACTTGAAATTCAGTCACTTTAAAGTTCATAAAAGGCATTGTAAATAGAATCACATTAAACTCAGAGTATTTGCAAATTCTTTCTTAGATTTTGATACTTCGCTTCACCTGTACACCTACTACTTTGCGCTGGGTGGAAAAAAAATTAAAGTGTGCACTCAAATGTCCAAAGCTGCTAAATACATTTCTCTGAATGTAAAGGGTCAATCAAGCTGTCTTGTCTATTCACATTAAATCTGTTACATTAAATAAATCCTACTGATCTGATCTACAGGAAGAGAAGCAACTGTTGTGGTAAACTCTTTACTATATCTCTAACAAACAAGTATTCAGGTCAAAAAGCAGCATTTCTGCTGCTTGCCCAATAGAGTTCACGATTAAAAGCAAACTCGCTGAAAATTTCTCTAGTATAACAACATATTACAAACCAGTAGTCTGACATGACAGATTGCACTAACCAGAGAAATACTTAACTCTGAGCCAATACCTTCAAGACTTTAAAAAGAAAAAACACCTCTGATTATAAGACAACTATGAGCGAGACATTTTTTCCAAATTCTAATAGCAGCAGTAATCATTCAACTATAAAAAACAACAGGAAAATAGTCTGTGCTTAGAATAAATTTTTGCAAGATAATATCTCATACCGGGAAACCCAACCAGAATAAAATTAATTAGGAAAACTGGGAATAAAACTGCCACTCAAATGGATGTTTTGACAATCACTGTAAAAGGCATATTAGCTTTGTGTGGTAAATTATAGCCAAGTGTCAGTTAATGCAGGAATACATATTCAAAAAATATTACAGATTGGAAATGTCCCACTGGAGACTACCGTATTTCCAGAAAAAAATCAAGTTCAAAGGATGTGAATTAACATGAACTAATATTACTAGAGTAAAAATAAAAAAAAATACATTCTTCTTACATATAGAGAGCTTAAGACTGGTTTATTGCTGCAAAGCATGGAAATACACTTGCAGACTACTCAAAATTTGTAGCTCCGCCAGACCAGTGCCACTGGTAGAAAGCACATTTCACTTGTGCTAGGTTTCCTATGGTATTCAGAGATGCAATTCATAATGCTGATGCAAATCTGTAAAGCCATAAGGAATTAAGAGACACTGACCCGAGATTCTTCTTTCTCATTCACTGCTGTAGAACTCAGTATGTCTTGAGGCACCCAGGATAGCAGACTTTTGGTTTTCATAGTGGCCTGTGATAGCATGAACAATTCTCTGATTTTGAAGTTACTGTTTAGACAATGTTTTTAAATAGGCATCTACAAGGGATCTTCCTTTCCATTTTGGCTGTGAGAAGAGATTTGTACTGCAGCTATTCACACCATATTTGTTCAAAAAGAGCATTTCCATTTTCATACCTATTAATACTTCAGCTCTCAGAAGCACTAAATTATGCAAACATACACATGCGCTCTCAACATGAAGATACCAAAATGTGAAAAATCTCAGACCAGACACTCAAGGAACATTGAAGACTGTGTGAAAACTTGATTAATTTGAGAGGGCATTTGCAACTCTTCTCTCCTCTAGCCAAACTTTGTTCTGATGCCTTCATTTCTCTATGCTGTGGTGAACAGTGAATCCCAGTAGAGGTAGCTTAACTTTTAAGTGATTTTGCAGGGGTTGTTATGTAGTTTGTATGACAATGGAAGTTTTGTACACTATTCCTTGCATGTTATATATGCAAAGTCTTACACTGAAATATTGTATATTACTAATATCCAGGTTTTGATACTAACCAAGCAAACAAGGTCATCCATGTGTTCCTAAACCCACAGTATATATTTCTGGTACAATTAGCAAGACAGATTTTTGATTCACATCTTCACTTCATAATTTTCTCATGTTATCCTCTGCTATATTAATTACTTCAGCAGGTAAAAGTTCTGACCGTACTCTTGGCTTTTACTCACATGAACAGATCATTTACTTTAAAGGTATCTACCTTAACAACAGCTACATTAAATTAGTAGATATTAAGCAGCATACAGCAGTGACAATTTAAGAAAATTGTTTGATATTATAAAGGGGCACTGGATACTTAAAAGAGGCCACCAACACCTTGTTGCTACAGTTTTGTACATGCTTACACATAACAGAAGCACCTACCCCAGTTCCTTGAAGAGGTGATAAAAGATGAAGTGTCATTTATTATAGACATAATGCATATTCTGTAGTTATTTCGTGAAAATACTTTGAAAGAAAAGCAGTATGCCATTAAGCAGAGCAAGTAAGGCCTCCTTTGGAAAAATCAGGAATTATATTAATTTACCTCATTACTAGAAATCAGTCTGTGTAAGGGTCTGGGTTTTCCTTCAATGTACCCATGAATGAGTCCTGAGTACTTCAGTTACAACAGTTCACAATCGTAATGAAAAAAGGTGTGTCCATTTCATAATTTAAATGCTAGATATTTGTGAAATGCCTCTTTTCCATAGTAACGCTATTTGCAACAGACTTGCAATACTCATGAGCATTTAAGTCTTAGATATACTGATGTCAAAGAGATTTATTCATTGAAAGGAGATCAGTGTTGTCCTATATTTCTTCTGATTTGGAAGTCACTCATTCCCACTTTCTGAAAGAGCAGCAGCTAAAATTTGGGTATGCCAACAACATGACCAGTTTAGATATATGCCAATCTGATATTCATATGCCTTCTGTTTCTTTTTACCTCACAGGTGTGGACAGATTCAGTGAAGATATCCAACAGATGATGGGCTTCAAGCCAGGCCTCTACTGGAGACTGTGCTGGAAATTTGTTAGTCCTGCTTTTTTATTGGTAAGCGTTGACAATTATTTCTTCAAGGAAAGAATACTAGTATGTTGCTTCCTACATTACAGAGTAGGTATCAAGAGCAAAACACTCATTGTTATCCCTGATATTGTCATGACAAATAGAAAACAACAATTTCTTTTCTCTCCTCCATGGCATTAGTGGTATTTTGTATAAAATATTTCAGTTGTGAAGCAGCAGCTAATTGTGGGTGTGGTCATCTCCTGTTCCTTCACTTTAGCAGACCTTGAAGGAAGCAGCTTTTCTTAGGAAACACTAACAGCTTAGATTCAGACAGCACCCCCAGCACCCAGGGGTATTAAACACAAATCTTCCTGCTAGAAAATAAAACTGAGCAAGGATAAGAGACTGTGCTGAGAAAAAAGGCTCTCTGAGTCCACCTGTGATTTAGTTGAAGACATTAAGCTTCAAATTCCCATACCACTAAACCATTGCATAATTTTACTCTACCCCTTGATAGTAAAACAAGGGCATGAGGGTGTCATAACTTGGGTTCACCACCCCTCCCCATTCTCATTTCAGCTGCTATGGATTTCAGTTTAAAACTACAACCTCTTGTGGCTGGCCTCATCTTGGAAACAAGAACAGGGTAATTCTAAAAAAGCTGGATTTACAGGGCCTAAACACTATACAAAATGGAGAGTGAAAAAAATCAATGTCACCACTTAATACCAAATCAAATCAGATCCGTTATATGGAAGGCATCATGTCACACTTCTCAAAGATTTCAAATTGCTTAATAACTAAATAACGCTTTTATACCAGCCTTGCATAAGCCCACATCTTTGTTACCTAGATGACAATGGAAAGAAATAATCACACTCTCTGTGCTATACAGACTACATATACCTATGCAAACAGAACTGAGACGTAAGGATTCTCATCTTTATCTTGGAGCTACAAAATCATTAACTTAAAAGAAAGAAAAAACACACTTAATTAAAGCATTCAAACCCCAGGTTGACCTTTCCTATTTCCAGTAATTAGATGCTTTGAAGACTCTCTCACTGGGTTTTGGGGTAAACAGAAATACATTTGATCACTTTTCTATAATCTGGATCTGCTGCTTACTACCATGCACTTGACCTTCTACTTCCAGGTTTGCACATTCTAATTTTTATTAATGGCTAGCAGATGTCAAATCAAATTGTTTATAAACCAACAATCTCTTTCTTTACACAAAGAGGTGTACTGGGTAGTAAGTACGTTTCCAGGCACTCAGGCCATTCAGGACTGCAAAACACTTTCTTAAAGACAATTAACAGGCTTTGCCCTCCTGCACTGAATCACTACTACATTAGGATGGTAGACTATTCTAAATTTAATAGCAATCAAGAGCAGATGTTTCAGTGGATGATGCAATGACTCAGAAATATTCATGCAACAAGTTACCCAGGAAGGATATTTTTCCTAACATGCTTGGTAATGGACATTGTATGTTCTGAAACATGGGTACTTTTATCGTTGCATATAGTATTAAGTTCAAACTATCATCAGATTATAAATGAACTTTGCATGTAACAAGGTAAGTGCTTAGTATAAAAATGAAAAGTAACTGAAAAAGTCAGCACTCTTTATATTTTAAGATTGATATTTTATTACTAGATTAAAAAAAAGTTCAAAGTAGAAGTGTTGGTTGTATCACTGGAGCGATAAAGAGGGACAGACATATATGCTGTTTTTATATCAACTTGATCTTTGGCTAGTGCAGGTCATCTACTCCTCCAGCAGTGTCTTTTCAGTGGCTCCAAACCACATATTATTGATTATATCCAGCAGCTCAGTAAGATAAAACCATTCTAGGAACTACTTACCACTAGATTTAACTTGTCCCTTTCTCTCAAAGCATGTATTATGTGTACCACATCTTGAGACACAAACTTTTAAGGGGTGTGCTTTGTCTCTGAATACAAAAATTGCAACAATATACTCAAGAACGTTACTTGATTAAAAAATCATTACATTTGTAATATGTATTAGAACACATCTTCCAATACTAATTTATATTTCATTGGTGGACACCAAGATTCCAATTGTGGAGTGACACCCTGGAATAAGCTGTATGCAATTACTCCCAGTGGTTAGCTGTTTGAAACACTGAAGAGATGTATTAAATATACCTTGTAAGCTGCCTGATGTGAAAAAACACACACAAATGCTTCATTACATTTGGGGAAAAAAATCCAAAATGTGATCATGGCATTTGGTTATTTTGTGCAAAGGTTCAGTTCAGAACAAAACTACAATTTTACATCGAGGCCTTCTCCTAGGCTTATTTGTAAATCAAAAGGTCAGGGTAAGCATAGGGAAATTTGACCTCACTATGATTTTAGGATATTAATTACATTAAAGCTGTGCTTTCTTAAAGCAGTACTGATGTACCCAGTACACAAAGATAGCTTGGACAAGCTTTGATGACACAGCCTTCAGGCCCAAATTTATTATCAAATTTTTTGTTTCTAGCCCCAATTAATTGGTTAATTAAACATCTAGCAAGCAGGTATTATCCTTCTAAACACTGTTCTGTAAAGAAACCTAATATGGAACTATAGCCTGCAGCACTTCAAACTGAGGCTGACAAGTTATAGAAAGGGAAAGGGCTGCACCAAACATCCTTAGTTTTTGCACGCTAGGAGATTGTTGAAGTTTGAGTTTTAAAATTCGAGCACAGCTCTAGCAAACGGGGAGGGGACGGACAGCCCCCATGCCTTCTTACCGAAGCTTATAAGTTGCAAGATACAGCATAAGGGTCCCCAGTGAAAGTGTCAGTGATAACATCTTTCTGCCATCATAACACACATTTTTTTTCCCTTTGGAAGGGCTACAATTGAGACATATCAGCTTAATTATTAGGTACTGATATATTTTAAAACCTGTGAAAATGGGATCCTCTGACTCCAGAGTATTTTTGTTATGTTTTGTATGCAGTTTTATGACTGTAAACTGTAATGTCCATACGGCTTTTAGAAATCTTGATTTGTAGGGGAAAAGTAAATTTAAATATACCTTCTTAAGCCTATCTTTTGGTTTCTGCATTGAAGACATTAGAAAAATAAAGCAGATTAAACTGACCAAAATTAACTTATAAATTAATAAGTGAAAGCTATAAAAATAGTCATTAGGATGACAAAGGTAGTCTTCTATTACCCATTAGAATTTAAAAATGCAAACTCAAGGAGATTAGTCACTTGATCTAAGCAATAGCATTTCACATCTGTATGAAGCATATGGAGTGCCTCATCACAAGAGATTGAGGCTGTAAGTACCATAAATACAAATGCCAAAAGAAAAGTTATAATTGCTTGATATATGCAGTTTAGGACAACATGGAAATAATTTGCATTAGAGAAGCTCCTAACGATAACTACAATTCTCCACAAGGGGAAGGGACATTGAGGTTGTCCAGATACCCGGTATTAGGAAACACCTCCTCAAAGCCTTTTCTCAAAACTTCCTACAGCTATGTAACATCACCCAAAAAATTTTCTAAATTAAATCAATATTTCATTAATGGCACTTCACACTATTGGCTTCCTTTAACCTATAACTTTAGTCTCCTTGTGCAGCCTTTGAAAATCTAATCTTAAACTATAGTTTAAAATTACTAGATGGAACAGAGTATAGAGGTCCAGAGAACCAAATCAAGGAGCTCTGCCCATAACCTGCACAGATTTATCAGAAAGGAAATGGGGTGGTACCCCACACTTTCCTTCTTATCCCTGGTATACATAACACATTTCTGTTTTCCAGGCCTTAACATTACATGACCTTCCCCCAGTAAATGCAGCATGCTGAAGCTTGCATCATGCTTCTCACTGGAAAATGGGTACAAAACTTCTCTAAGAAAGCAAGCCTAAGCCTCTGGGAAACGAGAAGAAAAATAGTTGCTAAAGACGCTTTTTTGATACAGAATCTCTTCGTTTTACATCTCTACCACTACTAGTTTAAATGAGGCAATAACAGACAGTCACCTGATCTTCCCACCAATAATCTGTGTCCAGAGCACATAGAATTAACTTGCTGTTAGAACCGGTACACGCAGCAAGAGTTTCCGCAGTTTAAGTAACGAAGGGCAAAGTAAGCAGGATGAAGGTAAATAATAAAGTTGGGTTGAAACATCCCTTAGGGTGGCTGTCTCATCAAACAGATGAAATCTGTTTTCCATTCCATTCAGTTTCTTCATATCTCAAAACCATGGTTCTTTTTATTCTTTCTTCTTTAGTTTGTCGTGATAGTCAGCATAATAAATTTCAAACCTCTGACGTACGACGACTACACCTTCCCTCTCTGGGCAAATCGTATTGGCTGGGGAATAGCATTATCTTCAATGATACTTGTGCCTGCCTATATTATCTATAAATTTATGAATGCACGTGGGACCTTTAAAGAAGTAAGTGGAATGCTAGCAAAGTATCATGAAATGTTGTAATGAAATGACTGGATCTACATTAGCAGTTTGTTTCTCTTGTTCCCCAAATATATTACTTATGAGTGACCTTTTGGATCCAGCTCTCTGATGGACTGGCGTTTCAAGGTAGGATTAGTGCATCCTCTTCCAGTTTCTAGATAGAAATTACCTTTCCAGAAAGCACTATGATTACTTTAAAAATTGTATTAATTTCTGATGCATATAATTAATCTAATTGGTGAGATGTTCTTTATTAATAAAACATATACAAAATATAGTATCTTCATGTTCAGCTCTGAGGTATGGTCTTCATGCAGCTGCTCTACCTGAATAGTTAGGTCCAAGGTACACTATGTCTCTGCATTAGAGTACTGTAAACTGTTATATGTACAAGGTTAATTCAGACCTCTCCCACCTTAGCATTATAATAGTCTAATCACATAACCATGTGCTTGGGGCAGAGGCGAAAGATTTCCAAAGGAGCACCGTGTGCAGGATGGGCTGTGCTCACTTGATGAGCATCCACTCAGAACATAAGGAATGCTTTACTGGGTCAGAGCAATAGCTCCCATTTAGCACAGTATTCTGTCTTTAACAGCAGCCACGCAGTATTTGGTTTTCTCTGTTAAATGTGTGTCCCTATTTCCTATTTACTGAAGTTATTTCAGCACTCTGCCAAGGATAGAATTAATTTCCTTGCAGATCTTTCCATTGTGATCATTGCTATAATAGAGTGCTTGAAGAAACTATTTATATTTGGAAATTCAGAAGCATTCTTAAATCCTATAGTACAGGCATAGCTTATGGTCTCATCATCTAGCCTCTGGCTTTTCAACTACTGCAGTGAGAGAACCAGGATACTAGAGAGCAACATCTTTCACCACATAAACCCACTTCACCCATAGGGTATGCCCAGTCTGTGCACTGAATAAAGCAGAAACTCTGAAGGAGAAACAATTTGCGACCATGTAATTAAAGGCAGTAATATAATAAAAAGATACTGAATTAAAGAAACCTTAATTCTGATGATTCTTAACTGTAAGTCCAAGTTAGACTTTGCAACATTTATAGTCTTCTTTTAACATCACTTATATGTGTAATATTAATATATTATTGTTTTATTTAAAAGGAACCTAGTTTCTCAGTGGAAAAACTGCATCTATCTTTTCTTATAATTTACTCAAAGTAACATTTCAAAATGGCACAAGATTAAGGCTCACTGATCATACTGATTTTACCATCACTGTAACTATAAATTCTTGTCTGTGTTCTTAAAGCTTCTAATGGTGTTTAGAAAGCAAAACTCTTCACCACTGCACAGCATCAGTTTTTGTCCCTTCATAGTGGTAGTCATTTTCTAAAGGAATCAGCTTTCTAACTTGTATCTAGTTCCGCTGCTCTCCTGTACTACATCTAGGGCTACACAAGGCCATAGAGTAAGACATTGAGGCTCTTCAGCAAGTCACCACCATACAGAATTAAACAGAAAAAAGGATCTCGCCTCTGCCTAGATAGAGCACATCCCCCTTATAAGAACCTGGCAGACCTAAAGGGTCTTCTTTCTGAAATATGACAATCACATCATTTAGGTGCCTTACCGATATAAGCATTAAAATGGAAACTCCTCTTCCCCTGCCCTGTTCTCATCAGCTCCACCATCTCACTTACACTATGCACAATTTCTAGCTTTCGTTTCCAGCAATTTTAAGCCCGTTATTTTGTTCCTCTCCCATGGGTTTACAAACCCCTTTTTCCAGTGGCAGCTAAACGTCCAAGAAGAGTTTATAGTGGCCCAACGGGCTTTTGCCAGCTTGCAGAATTTTACTGATACTGGGATGCACAAGCTTTTGGTCAAATTCACATTTTCTCATTAATCAGTGTTAGCAAGATTTCTGCAATTCACATGGAGGTCGTCAGTCTCTGCATGAAAAATACAGCAAAAGCCTTGTATGTTACACCTAAATGGCCATAAGATATGATGGACTAAACTGTGGCTATTAAACTTAAAGTAGGGGGGGCAAGCTATGCACTTAGTCTAAGTTAACTGAAAGTCCATGATAAACCAAAAATCTGCACATGATCCCAAATGGAACCACAGGGACAGCCAGGGGACAAGGGGGATGAGCTGGGAACAGTCAGCGCCCCTTTTCCTTTGCCACTGGGACTAGCCAATCCCATTTTGACATGAATTTAGGGGATGTAAGGCCTGTGACCTTCTTCCATATGCACTTGCTAAATATTTAAACTCAGTATTTGCATAAGCTTTCTACTGTTGCTCCTTATATTAAAGGCTAACGCTAAGGGGCTTATAAGCTCGTTCTCTCGGTGAACGAGTTAGACTCATGACTCAGTGACATTAAAGATTTAAGTTACTGTTCTAAATAAAGTTCACATTATTTCCCCATAATTACAGATGTAATCCCACTTCACATGGCTGATTTTTTTTTTCCCCTCTTTTTCCCCTCTGGTTTAGAGGCTAGCTTACTGCATCACACCTGAAAATGAACACCATCTTGTGGCTCAAGGAAATGTCAGGCAGTTTAAGGTTTGTACTTCTTTCACCATGCTTCTTCTTGCTATCAACCCTCCCCTGTCTTTGGCAACAACTGCAGCTTTGCATCAATCTCCTCAGCGTGGATCCTTTTACAGGTCTGTGGTTCTTTATTTTTGCCAGCATGATGCGATGCAGGAGGCTCAGTACCATGCGTATCAACTGTTGGAAGGCATTTAGCACCTTCCTTCCACCACTAAAGAAATGACTAAGCAGAACCCACAAGGTTACAGATCACTTTTATCCAGTATTTTAGGTTATATCTGAATACAGTGAGATCTCATCAGGGGATGAATTTATTTCCAGACCACCAGGCATATCTGAACACATGTCATATCCTCTCCTTCACAGTCATTACACAGCAATCTGAAGTCATGTTTTCTAAACTCCAAGTACGTATTAAGGCATGCTAAACAGTTAAGTATCCAGTGTCAGAGCTCAGACATAACGGTCATGATGAAATGATATGCTACTGAGATGGAATTGGCTTTCCCCGCAGGCCTGTAGCCAATTGAAAACACTGCTGGAGACTCCTTAAGACTGCTGAATAATATGCTATAGGTTTCCAGATAGTGCTTTGCTTCTAGCAAAAAAAAAAAAAAAAAAAAAAAGAGCTTACTGAAATAACTCCTTTTTGTAGAAGATAAAAAGGATGCAAATAAGAGGCATGTACATTTATCAGCATTCATGCCGGACCACTTTCTGCCTTCATAGTTGAAAGCAACTAGAATTATGCACACTACCTGAAAACATGACCCAGATTTTATAGTGGTGCTTTGTATGTCGATATTGAAAAAACAAATCAGAAAACGTGCCTTTTGTTCACTTTGAAATAAAGTTAAGAACTATAATGGGAAAAATGCTGTTTGAAGTATAATATTTTTTGTATTTTAAAGGAAATAATCCAAATGTAGATTTATGGGATGCAGAAGGAAAGAAGGAAGAATAGGCTACCCCTTTCACGATCACAATTTATGTGATGTGGCCACGGTTATGCAGTAGTAGAGCACCCCTTCCTGCCTTCTCATTTCCCCATCTCTGTCCTCAGTTATCTAAAGACTTTTAATGCTCCAGCTATAACAACTTGATTTTCAGAGGCTGATATTACTGCACTAATGAGATACACACCACTGTTCCTACACAGGTCTGGTTATTTAAATCCAAATGTATAATATCAGAAATAGAAGCAAGTGAATTTTGCTTAGTAGAGACTATACTTTGAAGCAAATGCCTAATGATCCTTTAAACCACATGTCTAATACTAGGGCATCTTATTTTAACTTGTTGCTATCTTCAAAGAACAACAAGGATTAGCTTTGTTATTGCTAAAGCATAGTTAATACTTCATTAATCTTAAGTTTGTAAGCAAAACACTGACCACAGTAACTAAATTAGCACAAAAGTCTTTTTTATATATATATATATATATATTCAGCAGTTCTGAATTTTAAAGCTGAACCAAAAGATAACTAAGTAACCTTTAAATTGAAGGTTTCTCACCTCCAGCTGGAATTCACAGGAATTTAGTTGAAATCTATCAGTTATTTTGAGACCACCTTGTAGCTCTACATTTGTCAACCAATGTATTTAAAACTTCTCTCATCACTATCACTTGAATCAATAATGTTACTAAGCAATTACTTCTGTTCCCTTACAGCTTCAACACTGGCTAACAATATGACAACTGACAGGTTGAGGAAAAAGCCAATATGTTAAGCAAAACTGGGAATACAGAAAATTCAAGTTCAAAGCTCCCTCGATTATGCTTGGACCAGGCTGGCTCAGACCTTATCTACTGACTCTTTGAGGGAAGATATCTGCTCTCTGTTCTCAATGCCTCCCCTCTATTACCTGGCTTTAAATGATCTTTAAAGACCGAATTTAATTTTTCTTATATCTTTTGGTGCCATGAGATCCCTACATGAGCAAAACTTGTGAGCTTTGCTATTGGTAGAAGTGGAGGAGGCGAGAGCAGAGAAAAAACATAAGTTAAAGGCTCTTTTATCCTGGAGAAGTGTATTAAACTTTTCTGACAGTAATAATTACTTCAGATATTCATGCCACGATCTGTTTTCAAACAACAATACCTGAACGCTCTTAGATCTTTAAGGAAAGAGCGCATCTGAATTGTAAGAAAAGAGCAACTTGAACTATGTATTAATGTCATTAGCTTTCTTGCCATACTATCCTTTGGGATATGAGTTTGCATCCTTCTGAAGTGAAGACTCAGTGCTTCACTTTCAGCGGTTTGTTATTAGTCTCTTCTCTTGGTGAAGAAGGTTGTCTTTGCTGTATATGTCCGTGCCATTTTAATTTCTGTGCAGTTTAACTATACAAGCTGAAGAGTAACAGGAATGGAATTTCTGTTGTGGCTACTGAGTACAGAATACAGTTCATTTCCACACTGTACTTGAAACATATTCCCTTATGTCAACAATTAAAATGGCTTTATCATAAGATCCATACTCTACAGACTTATTCAGTTAAGTGCCAAGTTATATACAATAGTTTTGTTATTTTTTGTGCCAAATAATGTACAGTATATAAAATAGTACATAGGAATAGAGATAATGATTTTTAGAATAAGCTGATCTACCCAGAGGCACCAAAATACCAAACTTGGGCTTTACTCTGCTGTTGTGGGCACACTATTACAATATCATCTGGATTCACCTACCAAAACATCGTAAGACTGTGTTGAACACCTTAGAAGATATTTTAGGCATACTCAGCTCTAGGCCTACTCCTGCTCTTCTCTCTCTCCAGTAGCATTATGCAAGCTAGAAGACATAAAACAAACTCTACATTTGGGTGCTGTTCTTGTTCTCTGTCATCACTTATCATTATAGTGTCTTTCCACTGATCACTAGACTCAGTAGCTTTAAATTACTTCTTATACTCATCGCTAGATCTATACTAATTTTCAGAGGCAGCAGCTTCTCAGTTGAATCCAGCCTGGAGTTTACCTCTGAACCTTACCTCTGAATATTTTTGCCTCTATACATTCAGTTCAGTTTCTTACCTTCTAAACATATACCGTGCTTCCTTTTTTTAAAGGACCATTTAAAAGGACGGTGGGTTTTTTTTACTATACAAGAAAAAAATATTTTATAAAAGCCCAGCTTAAAAGTCCAATGTTAAATGGGAAAGAGCAAAATCACTTGGATTTCTGTCCAAAATAATGGAAGCGAAACCTCTTCTTTCCTTATTCATACTTTTCCTCCAACAGAATCAATACTTCAGAATGAATCGAGTATTGTCTCTTGCTTAAGAGCCTATGTAACAAAGCAGTGGTTTTATTTAAGCAGGGCTTTAAGTCCAAAGGACACTGTCTTCTAATCGTAAAATAAGTCATATTTTCTGGCCCAAGTGATGGCAAATAACATTTCCAAATATATTTTAATAATAAGGGGGTTTCAAATGTTGCTGTTAGTTTTATAATGACATGAAAGTCCAAACAGTGAAAATGTTGAGTGCTTCAAAAAAAGAACCATCCCCCCCAACTCCATGCTGAATCCTATTTTTATTGTTTGCTAAACCCCATAGGGATCACCTTTCATTATTATAAACCTTACTTTTCAATAACACAGCTGTTTCAGTCATGGTTTGACATATCTCAAAAGTTTCTTAGCATAGATATAATTATTAAGTTTTGAAAGTCTCGGGAGCTCTTTAACATGGAGTTTTAATGGCCTATCACATTTTACATTGTTTAGTTCGCACATGATCATAAATGCTAACAACCTACATCAATGTTCACTTGTGAAAACCCACCCATCTATAGCAAAATCCACATATGGAAAGTTACATTTCATCACCACTCTGCTCTAAAGCTTGGGTGAAGTTGGGAGTGAAATCAGCTTTACCCAGCACGTTAGGGTTTGACTATTTGTAATGCCAACTCCTAAAGCAATTACCCACTACATTATTTTTATTTCTAATGCTGTATAACTTATTAGGTTAAGTACAGTATTTATAGCTCAGGATGCTGCACTATTGCCATCTTGTTCTGAGATTTTTTTTTATAGGCAAAGAATTTATAACTGATACAGAAGACAACAGGCAAATCTGAGGGATAGCAGGAATCTTATTACCATGAATAGTCCTAAGAAATACTTCATACTGAGGGATTGTGCAGCTGGGCTTTAAGAGTAAAGGTGTTGCCCAGAGGAATTCTCTCAGAAACATCGTGACTTTCCTCTGTCCCACAGATAGAAAACAATGTCCTTAATTCTCCATGGAATAAGATGCTCAACTACCTCATGCCTCCTGGATGATAGGTGATGCCATTAAACACCAACCAATGTCTATTCAAGAAAAATAGCTTTGTGAAGACCAGGTTATACTCCTTTCCTCAACTCAGCGATGTGGTACAGACAGATAGCCCAATAAAGAGTCACAGCTCTGTCACCCAGCTCCTTATGGGTACCTGCTTTGAGCTTCCTAATGTATTTTCAGTATGGAAAGGATGAACTGTCATGAAGATGCTCATCTCCCTTTTCTTCAGTCACTGTAGTTACAGAGATCGCCCAATCAGGTTCTCATTGCTCACGTCATTTCTTAACTGCAAATCATCTAAGTCTGTCTTGAATTTCCAGCTAAGCAGAGGCTGTTTCCCTTAGATATACCTGTTTGGGGGAGCAGACTAGTTCCACAAACGGGTGCTTTCCCAAGGTAATACACAGAAGGGTGCCATTCATCTCAGCCACATGCTCACTGATGGAAAAAACTCAGGATTAGCAGAGCTTGAAGTCCCTTCCTTTGCCACAATCACCACCTTTTCCATGCTCTATCATCACCGTGAGCTTTTAGCCACACTGCCAGAAATATTTCCTGCTTCTACATTAGATCTCTTTCAGAAAAGAATGAATGACTTTGAGCTCAAACTTTGGATTTCCAGCCTCTCCTGAAATCCTGAGATAAGCAGATGCTGGTGGAGGAGACAGCTCACTTCCAAAAGTGGAAAATTTTGATTACAAGCCTATTTAAAATGCAGTATCGTTTGCTTGCTAGTAGTTCTGGTGGCATGCCAGTAGAAAGAACTGAGGGAAGCAATTCAATAGCTCATTTGACAGCTCTAGAAAACAGTCTTGTAAGCCTTCTTTAAACCTGATAAAGGGGCTTATTGTACATTAGTCTTTCTCTCCTGACCAGTCCTACCTTCCTCCCTATAACTGAAATATGGGCCTACCTGCGATCCTTACTGTTTTACCAAGCAACGTAAAGTTAACTAGTACCAAGGAGAGAGATCTGCCATTTTTTTTATTCCTTCTGCTGCCATTCAGTGGGATAGAACATAACAAGTATTTGAAAAACTATAGCTACATTAGTAAAACTCCAGAGATTCAGATTTTTAGTAGAAACACACCAAGTCCTTCATGTGCAGCAGTCCAAAATCCACTAGTGCTATTTAGCGTTTGGCCTCTGTTTGAACCATAAAGTGTCTTTCTTGTGTTCTGAGGCATACACACTGGCAACACTTGAAAAGTATCTTACTATAGTGAAGGACTTTGCAGGAAATCCAGGATCAAACATGATATTTTAAATATAGAATGTAGGAGGAGAAATACTTGGCTGTTGCTATTATACACATTCCCTAACTGCACGTGCAATGTATGTTGTATGTAATTTTCCCAGAGGAAGTTCCCTGCAATTGGTCATTTCTTCTTGGCAAGATAAAATACCCTTTCAATGGTATTATTAAAAAAAGTAAAGCTCAAACATTTTGTATATACATCCACTTCTTACTCTATTGTTTTGACATGAATTAAGTTTATTTTGCCCTGTTAGGTTGTAGGATGGGGGCACGTAGAAAGTTATTTTGTTTTTAAATGTCCATTTTACATATCTTCTGATTCAGAGCAGTTGCTAACCAATATCTACTTTTGAGGGAGTAGGTAGCTTTCATTCAGTACCCCAAACTGATTCGCTACATTTCACAAGGCATTGGTGAACACAATCTCTTTCCTAAGAGCCAAATATAAACCACAGATCAGGAATTTCAAGAAATTAGAGACCTGCAAATGTTTTATTTGCATTGCCCAGTTAAAAAAAAAATTTTAAACAGGCTTGAGGGACTCAGACATAATAAAGTTATCACGACTCAAATGACAGCACATAATCTACCTACAGTAGTTACGTGCCTGTCCTGAGCCTCTCACAGCAGTAAAGTAGAATAAATATATTCTATCACATTTTACTCTGTTTTCTCACAGCTAAGAATTTTTAGAGTCCACAGATCAGCTAACATGCAAGAACTCAATTTCCCTAAATTAGAGGCCAACATGATGTTTCAGACTGAAAACCCTTGAAAAACAAAGTTTAGAGCGCCAGCTATAGTACAGGGAGAGCGGGGTCTTCTGGAAACTCCTCCGGAAACTTTTCCCTGAAGGAAAAGGCTTCCTCAGTCTCTCTTCCTCCGATTCCTACCCATGCTCCTATCGGTGCTCGTGGCCTAAGCTGGCTAATCAGTTATAAGTCAAGCTGTTGGAACATGAAGCAAAACCACTCAGATTACCCAAGTCAGAAACAGGACCTTGATGTGACCTTACCAGGCTCATATCTATATACCAGCTAGCACATGGACTATTTTGCGCAACGCTGTCCAGAAACTACCATGCAGGACTGAATCAGTGAGCTGTTTGAAAACCCAAATTATTAGAGATCTTCATTTACTAAACCAAAGTCTGGTACCCGAGAAAGGCATAAAACTATTTGTATGTGCTCTATGACAGAAGATGCTTTTTATAGTAGTGTGTAGAAGTCACATGCTGGCTTTCTTGTGGAAAAATTTAGGCCAGTATCACGTAAATTTTTGGAGCAGAACTTTTTAGAGCTTAATTTATAAAAGGTAAGCCTTCAGTAAAGCCCTGTTACTTCTGTGACCCTACACTCAGTTTCACAGAGGCTCATAGGCATGGAATAGTTGTATCTCAAAGATTTGTTTTGAGCGTTTCTGTACTGTGGAGATAGCCCTTTTCGTTCAGCCGTTTCACCCCCCTGTACCTCAGATTTCAACAACATTCCACTACGCATTTTTCTCCCTACAGTCCATACTCTTTTGAAGGGCAGTTTTTGCTGACAATCAGACATAACCGCTCACAATGACTAAGTAAGCATGCACGTGTTCTTTAGCTATGCTAAAAAGTGCAATTATTGAGGTTTTTGTCACTCCCAAAGTAAGTTTAAGCAAACAAAACTTGTACACCATGCACACAGAAACCTTTCCTAGGCATAAAGATGTCAGATATTTTGTACGTTGTTACTATTAAAAATATCAACATAGGGCCAAGATCTTCATCTGGTTGTTGATTTGCCTGGCAGTACTGTTCATCGCCTGCGATCAAATTTAGATGCACCTACATGCATCAGATATCGACTACTTATAGAAAACTAGGTGGCAGACAACCATTTCAGCCAGCAGAAGAATGTTAATCAGGTAATATAGCTGCTTTTAATGACAGAATTTGATCAGTTTTCCTCTTGCCATTTAAAAAGATTATATTTAGACAAACTTTTATCACTGTCTGACTGAGCAAACAAAAGCACACTAAGAAATAAAAGACAGTCAGAAGTCTAGAGGTAACACAGATATCGTCACTGTGTTCAATGTAACCAATTAACCAGCTTAGGAGAACGTGTGAGATATCCAGATGCAAGTGCTGAGGTAGCCTTTTGGGGGGCGAGGGGGAGACCAGGTGAGGCTAAGTCTCAGTCCAACAGTGTAGCCTTTACGTAAACCAACCATTATTGCCATCACTTTTGATGTTGAGAACAGCAGGCCTTTTGCTTAAGGCTTGCGCTGGCTGCAAGATCAGGCCACCTGTGTACTTTGCTTTTCTCCTTTCTAAAAGTGTCTCTTTAGCTGTAATGCTAAACAAAAGTTCCTTGATTTCTTTAGTGAGGTAACAGAATAAATTCAATGAACTAAGAAAGTTACTAAGCCTTAATCTGGCTCTTTTAAACTTGTCTTGTTGTTTCTTAGTCACTGCCAAGAGGCAGGTGACCTGCATTTTTGATTTATTATGTTGCACTCTCTAAGACCCTATCCGCAAGACTGCTTTTGTGCGCTAGGGGTAATATCAGTTATAAAGGGAGAATCTCCAAATACTACATTTTAAAAATAACTTGTAATAGGTCTAATCAAGATTTGCCTTACAAATAAGAGCTTTATAGCAAGCATTTACTCGGTTTACACCAGTGTTTTACTTAATTTTTAATGCCTTTTTATAGCAGTGATAGACTTTACCTTAGATAATGGTACCTCTGTATAGGAAATATTTTACTATTTTTACCAGTTTTTTTTAATTTTTCATATAATATAAATGTATATCGTAAGGCGATAAATTCAACTTTGATGTAACAAGCTTATCACACAGGACCTATTTCTCCATTATAAGATTTTTGTAGTTAACCAGTCTAGTTCCATAATGTTGGCCTTTGATCATAAATGTAAGCATGCGATAAAGGAGAATAAAACTTTATCAACAGCTAATGCACATTGTAGCACAATATTCTCCACTGCTGCCTTAATCTCATAAAAGGAAATCATAGGTTTTTAATTTATATTCTAAAAAAGCCAAAAAACAGAGCATCCTTTGGCTGCAGTTTTGTGTTGTTAGAGCACTTAATATTAAACCAAATAAATTAGCATCCAATAGATCTACTTCCAAAGCAAGAGATCACATTGCAGTTTTCAAGAACACATTTTCAAAGGAGTTCAAAACTTGCCACTAGTAAAGAATATTCTCCAAAGTGCCCCAGTGACCAAAAGCGTCCAAACATAGCCACTGCATTTTCACATCTAATTCCGCTAACTGTGCAATCTGCAGGTCTCTCTGCCTATTTTTTTTTTCCTTTTTGTATGTCTTTGGTTATCTGGGAGAAATGGCATTTCAGTTTTATTTTTTGAAGGGGAGACACCTACATGCTCGTGTGTGTAATTAGAAACAACTACATTTCTTATAAATGTGGATGTGTGTGATGTGTGCTGGTCAACTATAATTAAAATGCTGATAAAGATGGTGAATGTATTGTCCTCATTCCTCTGTCTTTCTGTGATCAGGGTAAATAAGAACTGTTTTAAGCTGTGCATTAATGTAACAGGTTATTCCAATATTGTGTATAAAATTATTTAAATTAATAAATAAAATCTGACAAATATGCACAAAAGGTATAAAGAATAAAGTGTCTTATGTACCAAAAATGTAGCTATGGCAGTCTCAAAAGCTGCGATGAAAATTCTGCTCCGTTATCAATACTATTGCCAGCTGTGGTATACAACCTAAAGCTTTAGAGTGATAGCAGGCCCTTGGTTCTGCAGTCATCTCCCCAGAGGCGGGATGCTTGCTCAGGAACAGGACATTTCTGAAGCAGGGCTGCTTAACAGCAATGCAGAGAGGCTTCAAAAGCCACTCTTGACCTCACTCTAAAAACTGGAAGTCAGTTAAAAACAACAGCCACAAAGCAGGAACTCAACATACCACTCAACCTTCATGAAGTAGTTCACATCTTTTTAGTGTCCAGTTAGTGCAGTGATTAGGTTAATTTCTACATTTGCATTCCTTTCCAGAACCTAGGTACAGTAATGCAATGAAGCTCTCCAATCACACACTGAAAGAAAACAATCAAAACCTTTTGGAAACATGAATCTGTCTGAATGCATGGAATAGAAGCTACAATTCCCCAAGGCTAAATTGTTACCCTTTTGGTAAGCAATTCCTGTTGTTTATATACTTGTTAAAAACATCATAATTAATAGTAATAACTATAATAGCATTATTCTTAATTTATCAATCAGCCAGGAAGAAAAGGCTAAAGAGGAGAAGTAGATAGAAAGGGTTTTTACTACAGCATAAACCATTTTCTTAACATTTTTCCATGCAGAACATCCCAAAATTATGTGAAGCACCATTATCACACAAGGGTACACTTTATTAGGCCATTTTGATTTTCTACCAAGTACAAACCTTCGTACTTGGCAGGTGCAGAGAAATCTATTTTGAGCTTTTTTTTTTTTTTTTTTTTTTTTTTTTAAAAACACACCTTGATGTTAAGGTATGCCATTTAATTTTTGATTTGTTTAATATTCCTCTAACCTTCACAGAAGTAAGAAAAAAATGATTTAAATTTTTAATATAATTCTGAAAGTTTGAATAATGAAATTTCTGTATGTCAGTGTTTAATAATGCAAAACAGAAAACTACAGGGCAGTATTAAAACCAAAGTTGATTCATTTTAAAACACTTCAAGTATTTTGTGAGAGTTTCTTTTAACCTATTTCGCTATTCAAAAGTCTCTACAAAGTTTTACATTTTCACTTCTCTTCATCCTCCCATTTTACCCACCCATTTACCATATTACTTCTGCATCAGCTTCAGTCAATTGGTAAGTTTCTTGACTCAGTATTAGCATACTATTATGAAAGTGAAATTAGACTAGGCTTAAAATAGAGGAATTTTATCCTCCTAAACATATTGCAGAAACCAAGTTTCTTGTTTGCTTTGGGCTAACCATATTGTCACTCTGTTATTCTCCTAACTAACTCTAAAAGAGGGAGTCACTTTTAAGTTACAGCCTTTTTCAACCCCCTAAAAAGACAAAGCGGATTAGGTATTGATGACACTTGTTTTAGCGGTAAAGACAACTGCCAGGAACAGTGATGCTACCCTTTACTTCCAATTCTTACAAATAAACATGAAATATCAATTTGCCCTCTTTTACCAGAGCTAATGCTTACAACCTAAGTAAATTTAAAATGCAAAAGCACTGGAAAACCTTTGTAGCTTGAAGAAATAAAATTGAAGGCCAAAGTCAAAATATATTCTTTTCTTTTCATAACACAAATCAACAATGCTGCCAAAAAGTTAGGGCATTACACTCATGTAAATCCAAAGAAGATGGAGAGAGAAAAACAGATGAAGTGTTGAAAAATAGTAACTACAAGTAGCAAACACTGCTTGCTTTAAAAAAAAAGTTCAGAGAGACCAGTTTGGCTTCCCCCCGTCCTCAAGCTACAAGCATACGGCTGCAATTGGCAGAAAACCAGAAATACTCACTCGCATAATACAAACCAATCCATAATTCCAGCACTAAATCAGTATAGTAATTGCTAAAGAAGAATCGAAAGGCCCTGTATTTCCCCAACTGTAAAAGCAGTGATAATATTGACATATCTATGAAAAGTTTTGTGAGATCTTAAACAGTACAGCAATGGCATACACCAACCAAACATTAGAACTCATATTTATTAAAGCTTACTAGCACATAAAAACCACAGATTGTTGTACTTGAGTTTTTCATCTGCTTTTTACAACCTTAAGCTTCGGAAGGAGAAGCATATGTTACTTATCCTGCCAATGGTAAAATAACCAGATAACATTTGGTCTCCATGAAAGCCAGTAAGAAGCATGTAAAAACACAAAGCCATAAAGAGATCTGAAAGCTGATTTCAACGTCACTAAATTGTGTCACTGAGGAGGAAAAAAAAAAAAAAAATCTACGACCACATACAGTTGTTCAGTTCATTCCCTTTGATTAAGGGCTTCTTATGCTTCTAAAAAATCAAAATATTTTGGATGACAGGTTCCTGAATTACAAAAGTTAAACACACTGAAAACAATCTCTTGTGAGTATGTTTCATACTTTGATTTATGGTGAATCATATCTTCAGATTATTATCCTTATACATTGTATATTCTTCATATTATCATAAGCTCCACTAGTTTATCTGGACTCCCAGTCATTAAACATACAATTTTAGTTGTGCTTGCAAGGAAATATTTCCAAGCAATTATTGCTGATTCTGTAATAAAAAACCACGGAAATGTTCAAATTCTCATTTAAACATAAAGAAAAGGTATATGAAACAGTGATATAACTTTCAAATGCTTTTCTCTGTCATTTAAACCACCACCACAGGTCATATTGATGACCCATATCCCCCAAAAGAAGCCCCAAATGCACAATCACAGGAAGACTCATTCTGGGAAAAAAGTGAGCTAAAAATAGAAATTTTTTAAGGTAATTCTCATATTCTTTAGGGAAAAAATAAAGACTGTTGTCTCACAGTAACTTTGTTAACTACCACATGAAAGTGATTTCGCTTAGACTTCTGTGCATTAGAGATGTAGAGCGTTTAGATTTTCACCAGCTCTAAAGCAAGACACTTGATATGTTTGTCTGTTCATCATTCTTTTGGACTAATAATGAGAGAAGTCATTGGTGTGATGAATAGACACCTAGAAACGTGCAATCCTGTCCTAAGTTTTACAGCATCCACTAAACTTAAACTGAACTCTGTCCTATATTCTGGAAAGAAGTTCACTTCAACTTTCTTTTATTACATCTTTGTTGAAGAATATTATGTTCACTTATAGGTTTGAAATCATTAAAGTAGCAAAAGCTCTTTACCTCTGAAGGATCTGCATTTTATGTGCTTTTCCAAGAAAACTATCTGCTGATACTTACTTCCTCTTATTCCATTCTAGCTATGTGCCTGCTTTCTTATTGCTGTTTTCTTTGGCACTGTTTCCAAAGTCACCTATAAACGGTAGGTGTTTTTTAGTCCTCTTCTGAGCATAAGAGTAGCTTCTTTGTATCTTTATCTGCATAACAGCCTCATAACACACCCTAATAAGAACGTGTTTTATTCATACCATTTCCAGATAATATTTAGGCAGACAAAGGTCCAGATCTGCAAGAGGATTTATCAACCCACAAAGACAACCTCAGGAGTCCAGCATCTCCTCTAAGAGGCCTTCCTTTCCATGAAGGTTTTTTTCCCCACCATGTATTATACAAAGTTTATTGTCTAACTCAGTTTTGTAGGTTCTTGACTTTCAGACTGAAATCCACAGAATTATGTGGAACTGAATCAAGTACACATCCATTTATTTAAAGTGTTGGGAATTCAAAAGGTTAAGTTTGAACTTAGACAAAGAGGATATTTTAAGAGCCACTGCCATGTTTTTCTTAAATCAACATGACTTTCCCTAGCTTATTTCAGTCTATAGCCTAGCCATTTCCCATAAACTCATCTTTATACTCTTGCTACTGGATTAATTCTTTGGTGGGCGCTTTGGTTGGTGCCCACTGTGTTCCTCCAGAACACTTGAATAACACCATATCATACGTTTACAGCCCCAGGCAGCAACTGCATCCAAATACTGAATACTTTTCATTGAAAACTATTCTGGAATATATCAAACTGTTGTCCATTAGAATCTTGGAGCACAGTTCACTCCGAGTTCACAGTAACAAGGCAAGGAATCTGCCTTCTAGTCTTATAAAAAGCTCATTAGATTTAACTAGCAAACTCGGCCAACAACGAAAACATTGAGTCAGTATGGACCTCATTAAAGGAGCAATACCGTTTACATAAACTCACACAAAAAAGTTGCCGAAGGGAGCAGCCATTATATCTTCCTTTTGCAGATTCAAAAGGAAGTAACGCATTCTAGAGCTGCATAAAGTTGATAACTGCCAAAAAACCCTTTATGCCAAATCCAAGCACAGTCTGCATGGCTGCTTCTACTTCAGATGGGAAAACGCCAGTGGCAGGCAAATGTACAAACAGAATCTGATGAGATGTGACAGAAACATAAACAGCTGCCACAACTAAATAAATTATTGTGCTAGATTGATTATTTTCAGAATCACATTTGCAGGGTAATCTCTTCATAGTTTCTCCTCATGCCTCTTTCATGGAGAATTCCTTTTCTTCTGACTTAAACCTTCAGTTTTACATCCCTAAAAAAAATACAGAAAGAGACAGTGTCCTATCTAGGCATTACCCACCTAAAAGCTTGAAATACGTAAGAAGTGTTCCAGCCTCAGGGATAGAATTGTATGTTCATACCACTGACCACTAAACAAAATATGCATAGAAAGCCAAAATTCAAAACAAACATTTCAACTGGAAATAAATGTTTTAAAAACAAAAATGTAAAAAAAAAGTCAGGAAGTGTCAAGCTTGATTGCTTTGCATCAACAAGACCAAGCAGAGAGGGAAAAAGCAGCAAACCACAGAAGAGTTAAACCAAAATATCCAGCATTTGAGAACTAAAAGGGTTTTCCTTTTCATTTTTTCTATCATTACAGTCAGATTAAAAATAGC